AGACTGCTAACCCGAGAGTCGCGAGTTCGAATCCGCGTTCAAGTCAGTAGAACGTGTACCCAGCTCTAATGGGTACCTAACTCACGATAGGGAAACTAAAGCGACTGGGCATATGTTGACCTTATTATTCTCTTGTATGCCAGGGTCATTGTAATAGTTGAAGTCTAGTTCATCTAGTTTATACTTCGTTGCTAGGTTACCATTCGGTATTTTCTCCGTTGCTAGACTACTAGAGTATACGAGCCGACCCGTGGCGTAGCATACTCCGCTATTTATTGACGGGTGAAGACTTCCTGAAAGACACATTTGTCCAAATGGGGTGGGTGGGTACACACTGTTACGCATGCTTGGAGAGCGAGGGTTAGCGAGTCGGCGTGCATGCGTGGTATCCCGCATAGTTGGACGACGTAGTGCAATTTTATATATATATATATATATATATATATATATATATATATATATATATATATATATATATATATATATATATATATATATATATATATATATATATATATATTCTCTCCGTTGCTAGTTTACCATACTGTATTATCTCCGTTGCTAGGTTACCATTCTGTATTATCTCCGTTGCTAGGTTACAAGGATGCCGGCGAATACTGGAGATCATGGTACGAGTCTGCGACCTTCGAACACGATCTGGCCGAGCTGTTTGCCCAGATCAAGCCTCTCTATGAACAGCTGCACGCGTACGTGCGCAGTCACCTGAAGAAGAAATATGGCGCCGACAAGTTCCCGACGACTGGACACATTCCCGCTCATATTTTAGGTTCTATACAACTTAAACATCATCCCCGCTCATATTTTAGGTTCTTTACGACTTAAAGATTGCTCAAAATACAATTCAATGATTTAATTTTTTTTCAATTTAATTTTTAATTGTGTTTTTAATGTGTTGGTTTTACTGTAAAAAAAAACCCATGCATTTGCGCATTTAGATGTCCCCAAGGAATACGAAATATTTTTTTGTTATTGTAGTGAATTTATAATTCCCAATTAATTGCTAGTTTTGAGTAATAATATTCTACTTTTTTATTTACAACATTGAATTGACTGATCTCAATAATTTTTTTAAGTAAATTATTTGAGGATATTTAAGATAAAAATATAAAAAAAAAACTGTCTGAAGTCTTCTCAGTAATTTATAAATGAACCGTTGCAGGAAATATGTGGGGTCAGGCTTGGAATAGTCTCATAGACCTGGTCCTGCCCTACCCCGACAAACCTAAGCTGGACGTCACGGAGGAGTTACAGCGACAGGTAGGTCTTTGACACTGACAGATTGTTAAATGTAGGTCATCAGGGACCTACTGGATCTAACACTTATGGGAAAATGATCGAATACGTGATGAAGTTTCAAAGGCGGATGAGGTTGGTCATTGGTGATATTTGTCATTGATAAGATTTGTCATTGATGAGATTTGTCATTGATGATATGTGTCATTGTTAAGATTTGTAATTGATAAGATTTGTCAATGATGAGATTTGTCATTGATGATATTAGTCATTGATGATAGGCCTATTTGTCATTGATGAGATTTATCATTGATGACATTTGTCATTGATGACATTTGTCATTGATGAGATTTGTCATTGATGAGATTTGTCATTGATGAGATTTGTCATTGATGAGATTTGTCATTGAAAGGTCGATGCGTCCAAAGCAGGTTAAACTGTGTGACTCAAGAAGGCAGGTAAATCAGCATTGTTCGGAGAAAACAGATAAAATTAACTCACAAAAAATGTTCAGAGAAGATTTGTAAAATTTTAAATATATATATATATATATATATATATATATATATATATATATATATATATATATATATATATATATATATATATATATATATATATATATATATATATATATATATATATATATATATATATATATATATATATGTGTGTGTGTGTGTGTGTGTATGTGTGTGTGAGCGTGTGTGTTCGATTATTTATTATTCTCTCTTGTATAAGGCATATATTTATGATTAAAAATCAAACCTTTAGCGGAGGACATTTTGTCTGTGGTCCCAGGACTCAGACCCTCAGGTGAGTCATGCAAGACAAACACATTTATACCTGATCACGTGACCCCCCCCCCCCAGAAATACACGCCCAAGAAGATGTTCCAGTCAGCGGAGGAATTCTTCACCTCCCTGGGGCTGCCCGCCATGCCGGAGTCGTTCTGGAAGAAGTCCATGCTGGAGAAACCACGTGACAGCCGTAACGTCCAGTGCCATCCTTCCGCTATAGACTTCTACAACAAGGTTGATTTCAGGTAGGTCATACAGGTCTTCAGGTACGTCATACACACGTCTTCAGGTAGGTCATACACGAGTCTTCAGGTAGGTCATACACGAGTCTTCAGGTAGGTCATACACGAGTCTTCAGGTAGGTCATACACAAGTCTTCAGGTAGGTCATACACGAGTCTTCAGGTAGGTCATACAGGTCTTCAGGTAGGTCATACACAAATCTTCAGGTAGGTCATAAACAAGTCTTCAGGTAGGTCATACACATGTCTTCAGGTAGGTCATACACAAGTCTTCAGGTAGGTCATACACAAGTCTTCAGGTAGGTCATACACAAGTCTTCAGGTAGGTCATACACAAGTCTTCAGGTAGGTCATACACAAGTCTTCAGGTAGGTCATACACAAGTCTTCAGGTAGGTCATACAAGTCTTCAGGTAGGTCATACAAGTCTTCAGGTAGGTCATACACAAGTCTTCAGGTAGGTCATACACACGTCTTAAGGTAAGTCATACAAGACTTCAGGTAGGTCATACACAAGTCTTCAGGTAGGTCATACACACGTCTTAAGGTAAGTCATACACAAGTCTTTAGGTAGGTCATACAAGTCTTCAGGTAGGTCATACACACGTCTTCAGGTAGGTCATAAACAAGTCTTCAGGTAGGTCATAAACAAGTCTTCAGGTAGGTCATAAACAAGTCTTCAGGTAGGTCATACACAGAATTTATGTAGGTCATACGCAAGTCTTTAGGTAGGTCATACGCAAGTCTCCAGGTAGGTCATAAACAAGTCTTCAGGTAGGTCATACACAAGTCTTTAGGTAGGTCATACACAATAATTTTTGTTGGTCATACAAGAATGTATGTCATACACAAGACTTCAGGTATGTCAGATGATTTCAGGTAGATACTCAGACTTCAGATAGGCTACAGATAGCCGCAGATATGGTGAGCGACACCCTGGTGTTTAGTCTAGCTGACTTGGGTCTGTTTACATATTGTTTCGGTTTAGTTTACTTTCATTGTACATACAAATATTCATGGACGTCGTATTTCTGATTTTGTATACAAATAGTTTTTTAAAAACACATCAATTTAACTTTCACTTTAACCTAACACATTACCTAACCAAATGTATATATACATCAAATATTTTTTACCTTAATACGTGTCAGGATTAATGTTTAAAAACTCATTATGTGACAGGATTAACGTTTAAAAATTTATATTGTGACAGGATTAAGATGTGCACGGATTAACGTTTAAAAACTTAATATGTGACAGGATTAACGTTTAAAAACTAATTATGTGACAGGATTAACGTTTAAAAATTCATTATGTGACAGGATTAAGATGTGCACGGATTAACGTTTAAAAACTTAATATGTGACAGGATTAACGTTTAAAAACTCATTATGTGACAGGATTAACGTGTAAAAACTCATTATGTGACAGGATTAAGATGTGCACGGAAATCACGCAGTATAATCTGATGATCATCCACCACGAGATGGGCCACATCCATTACTACATGCAGTACAAGGACCTGCCTGTTATCTTCAAACAGGAACCTAATCCAGGTAAATCTATACAGGTAGGGTTAATCCAGGTAAATCTATACAGGTAGGGTTAATCCAGGTAAATCTATACAGGTAGGGTTAATCCAGGTAATCCTATACAGGTTGAGTTAATCCAGGTAAATCTATACAGGTAGAGTTAATCCAGGTAAATCTATACAGGTAGAGTTAATCCAGGTAAATCTATACAGGTAGAGTTAATCCAGGTAAATCTATACAGGTAGAGTTAATCCAGGTAAATCTATACAGGTAGAGTTAATCCAGGTAAATCTATACAGGTAGGGTTAATCCAGGTCATTCTATACAGGTAGGGTTAATCCAGGTCATTCTATACAGGTAGGGTTAATCCAGGTAAATCTATACAGGTAGGGTTAATCCAGGTAAATCTATACAGGTAGGGTTAATCCAGGTAAATCTATACAGGTAGGGTTAATCCAGGTAATTCTGTACAGGTAGAGTTAGAAGTCTAATATCGTTGTGCCCATACTTGCTACAAGTCTGATGTTGTTATGTCCATACTTGCTACAAGTCTTATGTTGTTATGGCCATACTTGCTACAAGTCTGATGTTGTTATGTCCATACTTGCTACAAGTCTGATGTTGTTATGTCCATACTTGCTACAAGTCTGATGTTGTTATGTCCATACTTGCTACAAGTCTGATGTTGTTATGTCCATACTTGCTACAAGTCTGATGTACGTCCATACTTGCTACAAACTACAAGTCTTATGTTGTTATGTCCATACAGTTTAAAGTCTGATGTTGTTATGTCCATACTTGCTACAAGTCTGATGTTGTTATGTCCATACTTGCTACAAGTCTGATGTTGTTCCAGCATTTGGTGAAGCGGCTGGTGATGTTGTGGCTTTGTTTTTCCAAACACCAGAACATTTGAATAAAATAGGACTTCTCACCAAGGTGGTGCCAAACGATACAGGTACATGTTTTCACTGGAAGTGACGTCATGGCAAGGGTGATGTATTTTAAATCTGTCATGTCCCAAAAATGTGACGTCTCCCATGTACAAAAATTGTGATGTCTTTCTATATGTCCCAAAAGTGTGACGTCTGTCTATATGTCTCACAATTGTGACGTCTGCCATTTCCCTAAAGTGTGACGTCTGCCATGTCCCAAAAGTGTGACGTCTGCCATGTCCCAAAAGTGTGACGTCTGTCATGTCCCAAAAGTGTGACGTCTGCCATGTCCCTAAAGTGTGACGTCTTCCATTTCCCTAAAGTGTGACGTCTGCCATGTCCCAAAAGTGTGACGTCTGTCATGTCCCAAAAGTGTGACGTCTGTCATGTCCCAAAAGTGTGACGTCTGTCATCTCCCAAAAGTGTGACGTCTGTCATCTCCCAAAAGTGTGACGTCTGTCATCTCCCAAAAGTGTGACGTCTGCCATGTCCCTAAAGTATGACGTCTGCCATGTTCCAAAAGTTTGACGTCTGCATGTCCCAAAAGTGTGACGTCTTCCATTTCCCAAAAGTGTGACGTCTGCCATGTCCCAAAAGTGTGACGTCTGCCATGTCCCAAAAGTGTGACGTCTTCCATGTCCCAAACGTGTGACGTCTGTCATGTCCCAAAAGTGTGACGTCTGCAAGTCCCAAAAACTGCCATCTGCCATGATTCCCATCTTACTTTAAACAACAGAGACAGACATCAACTTCCTGATGTCAATGGCGCTGTATGCGCTTCCGCTCCTGCCATTTGGGTACCTGGTTGACCAGTGGCGGTGGTCAGTGTTTAGAGGGGACACGAAGCCTGACAAATACAATAAATATTGGTGGGATTTGAGGTAATCTGTGAGATTTGAGGTAATCTGTGAGATTTGAGGTTATCTGTGAGATTTGAGGTAATCTGTGAGATTATGTACCGTAGTGGGATATTAGATAGAAGTGGTATGTCAGGATTAGCGTTCAGACCAATAATAGCGGGACATAGTGTGCGTGTTGCTATGAGTGTTTGGGACACACCCATAATAGCGTGACAGTGTGCGTGTTGCTGTGAGTGGGACACACGCATAATAGCGTGACAGTGTGCGTGTTGCTATGAGTGTTTGAGACACACCCATAATAGCGTGACAGTGTGCGTGTTGCTATGAGTGGGACACACCCATAATAGCGTGACATTGCGTGTTGCTATGAGTGTTTGAGACACACCCATAATAGCGTGACAGTGTGCGTGTTGCTATGAGTGGGACACACCATAATAGCGTGACAGTGTGCGTGTTGCTGTGAGTGGGACACACCCATAATAGCGTGACAGTGTGCGTGTTGCTATGAGTGTTTGACACCCATAATAGCCTGATAGTGTGCGTGTTGCTGTGAGTGGGACACACCATAATAGAGTGACAGTGTGCGTGTTGCTATGAGTGTTTGAGACACACCCATAATAGTGTGACATAGTGTGCGTGTTGCTATGAATGGGACACACACCATAATAGCGTGACATAGTATGCGTGTTGCTATGAATGGGACACACGCCATAATAGCGTGACAGTGTGCGTGTTGCTATGAGTGTTTGAGACACACCCATAATAGCGTGACAGTGTGCGTGTTGCTATGAGTGGGACACACCCATAATAGCGTGACATTGCGTGTTGCTATGAGTGTTTGAGACACACCCATAATAGCGTGACATAGTGTGCGTGTTGCTATGAGTGTTTGAGACACAGCCATAATAGCGTGACAGTGTGCGTGTTGCTATGAGTGGGACACACCATAATAGCGTGACAGTGTGCGTGTTGCTATGAGTGTTTGAGACACACCAATAATAGCGTGACATAGTGTGTTGCTATGGGGGTTAGAGACACAGCCATAATAGCGTGACACAGTGTGCGTGTTGATATGAGTGTTTGAGACTCAGCCATAATAGCGTGACAGTGTGCGTGTTGCTGTGAGTGTTTGAGACACACCCATAATAGTGTGACATAGTATGCGTGTTGCTGTGAATGGGACACACACCATAATAGCGTGACATAGTGTGCGTGTTGCTGTGAGTGAGTGACATAGTGTGCGTGTTGCTATGAGTGAGTGACATAGTGTGCGTGTTGCTATGAGTGTCTAGGACTGGCATTCGACTTGCAGGTGCAAGCTACATGGTCTGTCGCCGCCCGTGGCGAGGAATCGGTCGGACTTTGATCCTGGTGCCAAGTTTCATATTCCGGGCAGTGTGCCGTACATCAGGTGAGTTTTTAACAGATGGGCTTTGACAGGTGTAGTTGACAGATGTAGTTAACAGATGTAGTCGACAGATTGACAGATGTAGTTGACAGATGTAGGTGACAGATCGACAGATGTAGTTGACAGATGTAGTTGACAGATGTAGTTGACAGATTGACAGATGTAGTTGAAGATGTAGTTGACATATGTAGTTGACACGTGTAGTTGAAAGTGGTGTGAGAGGTGAGTCCTACCTGTTCCAATATTTGACTCACCTGTTCCAATATTTGACTCACCTGTTCCCTGCCAATATTTGACTCATCTGTTCCAATATTTGACTCACCTGTTCCTGCCGGTGCCAGATATTTCGTCGGTTACGTCATCCAGTTCCAGTTCTACCGTGGCTTGTGTGAAGCGGCAGGCCACAGTGGACCGCTGCACAAATGTGACATCTACAAAAACAAAGCAGCGGGGCAACGCTTCGTGTGAGTTGCTCTCATTTGTTTTTCTGGTCGCCATGGTAACAACAGCAATGGTATCCGTCTGCTTTATAGATATCGTCAAGAAAGTTTTAGAATTTTCGAGGTCGGCGTGGTCGGGTCGGTAAAGCTCAATGTTGGTGAACCGAAAAGTCCCGAGTTCAAACCCCCGGGAAGATGAGCCTCAATGGCTGTAGAGAGCAATACATCCAGAAGAGGCTACTCCAAAATCAAACAACTGCTGTCTTGTAGCTTGTTCTTGGGTGGACAATGTAAACAAACTCACCTAAAAATAGTGAGTTTGTTCCTCACTATATCCAGTATCTGATTGGTCCATATAAATAGTAGTTGAACTAGAAACTTGAGTAAAACAGAAACCGGATGTTGTTTTGTTCAGTCTTGTCTTGTTGGCAAGCTGCTAATCCGACACTTCAATTAATTAGGTTCTTAATCTAATTTTTTCAAAGATTTAGGATTGTTCGAGAACGACGACTTTTTTTTGGGAAATTATTTTAAAATCTGAAATCTCGTTGTTTTCCGAAAACCTGTTTTGTTTTCCTTGTCAGGAAATTTTAATAAAATAATTAAAAAAAACTATCATTAATGATGAGTACCTGATTCATATTAGGAAACAAAGGCGTCTAGGCATATTGCTGACCACACTATCCCTTCATACGCCAACGCCATTTAAACAGATCAACTCTACTTCATCTGCCTCATGTGTCTTGGGCACAAGCGGTGAAATAAGATGATTTTTATAATTAAAGTTAATTGACCTTTGGATTATGAATAACGTGGTACGGCTAATCCATGAGTATTTCTTCTTGTTCTTTTAATGATCTCAGATCAATGATGAAGCTCGGGGCGTCTAAGCCGTGGCCGGACGCCATGGAGGTGATGACGGGTCAGAAGAAGATGAATGCCAGCTCCCTGCTCGAATACTTCCAGCCGTTGATGAAGTATCTGAAGGAGAAAAACGGGGCCGACGTGGGCTGGAAGCCGGAGTGTCCGACACCTGGAGGTAATGAGTGTCTGACACCTGGTGAGTGTCTGACACCTGGTGAGTGTCTGACACCTGGTGAGTGTCTGACACCTGCTGAGTGTCTGACACCTGGTGAGTGTCTGACACCTGGTGAGTGTCTGACACCTGGTGAGTGTCTGACACCTGCTGAGTGTCTGACACCTGGAGGTAATGAGTGTCTGACACCTGGTGAGTGTCTGACACCTGGTGAGTGTCTGACACCTGGAGGTAATGAGTGTCTGACACCTGGTGAGTGTCTGACACCTGGTGAGTGTCTGACACCTGGTGAGTGTCTGACACCTGGAGGTAATGAGTGTCCGACACCTGGAGGTAATGAGTGTCTGACACCTGGAGGTAATGAGTGTCTGACACCTGGTGAGTGTCTGACACCTGGTGAGTGTCTGACACCTGGTGAGTGTCTGACACCTGGAGGTAATGAGTGTCTGACACCTGGAGGTAATGAGTGTCTGACACCTGGAGGTAATGAGTGTCTGACACCTGGAGGTAATGAGCGTCTGACACCTGGAGGTAATGAGTGTCTGACACCTGGAGGTAATGAGTGTCTGACACCTGGTGAGTGTCTGACACCTGGATGTAATGAGTGTCTGACACCTGGAGGTAGTGAGTGTCTGACACCTGGAGGTAATGAGTGTCTGACACCTGGTGAGTGTCTGACACCTGGAGAGTGTCCGACACCTGAAGGTAATGAGTGTTTGACACCTGGAGGTAATGAGTGTCTGACACCTGGAGGTAATGAGTGTCTGACACCTGGAGGTAATGAGCGTCTGACACCTGGAGGTAATGAGTGTCTGACACCTGGAGGTAATGAGTGTCTGACACCTGGTGAGTGTCTGACACCTGGATGTAATGAGTGTCTGACACCTGGAGGTAGTGAGTGTCTGACACCTGGAGGTAATGAGTGTCTGACACCTGGTGAGTGTCTGACACCTGGAGAGTGTCCGACACCTGAAGGTAATGAGTGTTTGACACCTGGAGGTAATGAGTGTCTGACACCTGGAGGTAATGAGTGTCCGACACCTGGAGGTAATGAGTGTCTGACACCTGGAGGTAATGAGTGTCTGACACCTGGAGGTAATGAGTGTCTGACACCTGGAGGTAATGAGTGTCTGACACCTGGAGGTAATGAGTGTCTGACACCTGGTGAGTATTTGACACCTGGAGGTAATGAGTGTCTGATACCTTGAGGTAATGAGTGTCTGACACCTGGTGAGTGTCTGACACCTGGAGAGTGTCTGACACCTGGAGGTAATGAGTGTCTGACACCTGGAGGTAATGAGTGTCTGACACCTGGAGGTAATGAGTGTCTGACACCTGGAGGTAATGAGCGTCTGACACCTGGAGGTAATGAGTGTCTGACACCTGGAGGTAATGAGTGTCTGACACCTGGTGAGTGTCTGACACCTGGATGTAATGAGTGTCTGACACCTGGAGGTAGTGAGTGTCTGACACCTGGAGGTAATGAGTGTCTGACACCTGGTGAGTGTCTGACACCTGGAGAGTGTCCGACACCTGAAGGTAATGAGTGTTTGACACCTGGAGGTAATGAGTGTCTGACACCTGGAGGTAATGAGTGTCTGACACCTGGAGGTAATGAGTGTCTGACACCTGGAGGTAATGAGTGTCTGACACCTGGAGGTAATGAGCAATTGCTAACAAGAGTCTGTGTGCTTTCATTGGTGTCTGATTTGGTTTCATTATCCAGCAAAGCTAATTAAAATGATTAAAACCCAGTTAGGTTTATATCTCCAGGTCAAGTGGATAAATAAAACCAGTTCGATTTTCGATATAAAATATGTGTTCTGTAAGGCTTTTTAACAAAACAAAATATTTTTAAAAAATAGAATTTTTCATTTGTTTGCTGTAAAAGTGATCATTTGTGTCAAATAATTGGGGCAGTTGTAGAGATGTGGCCTGATATTTTGTAAACCTTTTCACAAAAAATAAAATATTTTCTGATTTACCCAAAAGTTTTATATATAAAGTTGTTTTTTTTTAAAAAAAAGGATATTTCAAGACTAGGAAATGCAATAATTTTTTGCAACGTATAATAAGATTTGTAATTTATTACAGCGAGCTAATGAACGAAGATTGTGTGGAGAAAAGGACGAAGTACGCCAAAAAATGACAATTTAATGAAAATGATTATTTTTTTCTCCAATTAAAATTGTTAAATAGATATCTTGTTTATTATTTGTGTGGATGTGCTGTAATAAATATCCCAACTAAGATCTACAGGCAATTCTAATCACAATGGAATACATTGTTGTTCTAGAGGCCTACGTGTTAAGTATTTAAGCCATAAATGATAGCGATGCAAGTCAATAGCTGTAATTTAACGTAAAACAGTCGTCATTTTGGTGTTCCATGGGGGAGAGGGGGGGGGGGGGGGGGGGGTTAACCCCTAACACCCCTCCTGCCTACGCCACTGGGCAGGGTAGTGTTGTGTTAGTTTTTCAATTGGCTTTCTTGTGTCAAAGATCTTTGCTTGAAAATAATTCTTAAGGAATTGGTTTTAGCTACCAATATATTTAGAGTAATTTTTGCCTACGATGTGTGATCAAAATGTGTGCTATATTTCTTTCACTACAATGTGTTCAAGAAGTCCAGGACGGCGTGGTCGGGAGGTAGGGAGCACGACTGCTAACACGAAAGACTTGAGCTCTAATCCCAGGCTTGAGTTCACTCATCTCTAATAAGTACATGGATCAGGGAAAGTAGGGCAACTAGGGATAAAAATAACTGCATTGTGCCTTTGTATGCCGAGGTCACAGAAACAAAAGATGTATTGCGTGGTGATGTAATGTGTTTGGAAGGTGTGTAAGTGGGGGGGGGGGATCACTTACTAGGCAGGAGCTTTGCTGGTTCGTTAGCTCACAACTTCTATTTCCCAAGTGTGGGTGTCGCAGCTCCACCAAATATGTGAGGGCGTCGGGAATCGTGTGTAGGAATACACCAACAACCCATAAAGGCTAAAATACAAGTCTGTAAAATCCAACGAATTTCCTTGTCCATTCACATATCAACCTTTTTCTTTTTACTTCAAACTTCAACTGCCTCCCGCATTCAACCCTACACACCTCTTTTCTTCGCTCACAACACACCCTCTGTCGCTCGACCAGTCGCTTCCCTTGTTACACTCGTTCACTCCGTACAACAACACACACGTCAACACGGCGCTATCACTCGACCAGTCGCTTCCTTTGTACCCTCGTTCACTCCGTACAACAACACACACGTCAACACGGCGCTATCACTCGACCAGTCGCTTCCTTTGTACCCTCGTTCACTCCGTACAACAACGCACACGCCAACACGGCGCTGTCATTCGACCAGTCGCTTCCTTTGTACCCTCGTTCACTCCGTACAACAACACACACGTCAACACGGCGCTGTCACTCGACCAGTCGCTTCCCTTGTACCCTCGTTCACTCCGTACAACAACACACACGTCAACACGGCGCTGTCATTCGACCAGTCGCTTCCCTTGTACCCTCGTTCTTTCCGTACAACAACACACACGTCAACACGGCGCTGTCACTCGACCAGTCGCTTCCTTTGTACCCTCGTTCACTCCGTACAACAACACACACGTCAACACGGCGCTGTCACTCGACCAGTAGCTTCCCTTGTACCCTGGTTCACTCCGTACAACAACACACACGTCAACACGGCGCTGTCACTCGACCAGTCGCTTCCCTTGTTGCCTTCGTTCACTCCGTACAATAACACACACGTCAACACACCCGGCCTCTCGCACAATTACAGTATATACACACACTCAGTGATCCGTCCCACATACACACCTATCATACACATTACATCACCACATATTGCCTGTTTTAACTGCGATATAAATTAATGTCACACACGGTATAGCTTACAACTGAAAAAAGCTACGAAAATAATTATTAAACCTAGTTTCTTCCAGTCTTGTGTTTTGAAAGCTAATGGGCGATAACTATCCCGTTTAATTATATACAATTTAGAATATTTTTTTGTAGATTTTCATAGTCATAATTTTTTGTTTAAACTATTCTCGACTACTTCTGAGTTTAGTACTACGATTAAGATAATATGTTTCTCATATTTTCACATATTAACTATAGGCGTTTTTTTATAGAATATTTCTCTCGTCAACCAGAATTTATTAATTATTGAACAATTCTATTTAGAATATCAAAACAATTTATTAGTTTTCAATATTTTCAAACAAGGTCATGCATTTTATATTTTAAAAATCACATTTAAATACAATCAGAAATAGAAAAAAATGTACGCTAAAACATACATTGAAAAAAAAATTATATGCTAAAGCATACATTAATTAAATTGATTTAATTTTTCCATGTAAAACAATATGATTGTAAAATACGTTGATCTTGCACAGTAACCTTTTCACACACCGGGATTGAAAGTTGAACATTGAAACTTTGTATGAACAGATTTTAATGTAACCCTAACAGGCTTTCTTATTGGATGTTGGTGTTACATTACAGTACAAGGTAACCCTAACAGGCTTTCTGATTGGATGTTGGTGTTACATTATAGTACAAGGTAACCCTAACAGGCTTTCTGATTGGATGTCGGTGTTACATTACAGTACAAGGTAACCCTAACAGGCTTTCTGATTGGATGTCGGTGTTACATTACAGTACAAGGTAACCCTAACAGGCTTTCTGATTGGATGTCGGTGTTACATTACAGTACAAGGTAACCCTAACAGGCTTTCTGATTGGATGTCAGAGTTACATTACAGTACAAGGTAACCCTAACAGGCTTTCTGATTGGATGTCGGAGTTACATTACAGTACAAGGTAACCCTAACAGGCTTTCTGATTGGATGTCAGAGTTACATTACAGTACAAGGTAACCCTAACAGGCTTTCTGATTGGATGTCGGAGTTACATTACAGTACAAGGTAACCCTAACAGGCTTTCTGATTGGATGCCGGAGTTACATTACCGTACAAAGGTCTGAGACATTTGCCCGAACGTCACTTGCTCGAAGGCCGTTTTCTCAAATGGACCGAAACTGACAAATGCCAAAATGAACTTATGCCCAAATGAACGTATGCCCAAATGAACTTATGCCCAAATGAATGTATACCCAAATGAACTTATGCCCAAATGAACGTATACCCAAATGAACGTATGCCCAAATGAACGTATACCCAAATGAACGTATGCCCAAATGAACGTATACCCCAATGGGATAATACCGGGCAAATGGCCTTTCGGGCTTGTCCCCCTTATTAGAATATGTTTTAACTTTGATTCTATATTAGAGGTCACATATTAGAGGTGACATATAAGAGGTCACATATTAGAGGTCACATATTAGTGGTCACATATTAGAGGTCACATATAAGAGGTCACATATTAGAGGTCATATATTAGAGGTCACAAGTTAGAGGTCACATATTAGAGGTCACATATTAGAGGTCACATAATAGAGGTCACACCAAACCGAATAAATATGACGTTATGCAAGTCGTAACATGACTTGAATAACAAAGCAAGAATTTAAAAGGACATAATGATAAAATAAGATGAAATGAATGTTTCTGTTTAAATTAAGTGGGTTTTTTATAGCGATCAGTATGGGATCGTCCATAAATGACGTCACACTCGTAGGGGGGAGGGGGGTCCGTAATTTTGTGACGGTCTGTGATGAGGGGGAGGGGGGTTCAGATGGTGCGATGTCACACTTCTGCATTATAAAACAGCAATGTTAGAAAGCTAATTTTAGAAAACTGTTTTAATAAATTGTAATAGGAATTGATTAAAATAATCTATTTTGACAGGGTTCAGACAAAATTTTGGAAAAATATCGATGTTTAAAAAAAAAATTCAACTGCAATTTTGAGGGGGGGGGGGGGGGGGTTGTAGGCTGAGGTGTGACGTCAGGTCATTTTAAGGGGGGGGGGGGGGAGGTCCTGACTTTTGTGACGATGTGTGACGGAGGGGAGAGGGGGGGGGAAGGTAAAAATCGCCAAAAAAACGTGACGTCATTTATGGATGATCCCTATGCCATTCTAAAGAAATGTATATGTTGCTGAGTACCATTAAAAGTGGGTCGAGTGTTAGTTTCACTCAATTTTCGTCTTCAGTAGCACCACAAGGCGGGGGCATGGGGTGCGGTCCGCCCCGGGTGGCACCCCACCTGGTGACGCCTCAGTTTATTTGTGACTAAGTAACATGAATTTAACTGATCTTGACCCACTCTTAGCTATGCGATAAATGTTAATTAATAATTAGCCTTAGCTTTTAAAAAAATACACAATTAATCGTTATGATTGAACATATCGATATAGTTGGAAGCGAACTGTTTGAAAATTGAGCAACGATTGTCTTGGTACCTTTCGATGATAATGTTCACATTAATTAAAAATATTATAATTGTATTCATAGAACGGACGTTTGTATTGGCTACCTTAATGTCACTATGACCTGCAGAATTAAAATAACCACCAATGAAATCGTTGAGATTCTCAATGAATTAGCAGAATTATGCCCTCGGGGGGTTTTAAAATCCGGGCATTGTGGGTCCCAGCCGAAGTCATTTCCGTTTTCCTGTTGGAGATACTCGTGCAGGGGCCGGAAGTACTCGAGGAGGGCGCCGGCGTCCATCTTTCTCTGTCCGGTCATGACCTCCATAGCGTCCGGCCACGGTTTGGATTGTCCAAGTTTCATCATTGACCTGTTGGGGGTGGGGGGGGGGGGGGGGGACAAGAAACAAAGACTATTTTTAGCTGAGACTCATTATTGTATTCACACGTAAACATCGAAAATAATTTTGTTGATATGATGCACACATGATTTCATTTTGGTTTACAAGACCAGCTCGGTTTAAAATGTACCAACTTATGATAGATTTCAACTTAAAGGGTTGAGTGCAGATGATGTCATTTTCATTAGCGTTAAGGAAATGTGTATGTGTGCTTAGAGAGGGTATTGATTTATTTCGTGCAACGGTTGGAGGCAGAGGCGTAGCGAGGGGGGGGGGTACATATGTCCGGGGGCGCGAAAATGGGTTGTAAAAACAAATTAAAATCTCATTTTGAGACGGGTGCAAATTGAAAGTTTGAGAGGGGTGGGGGCTAATTGAAAATTGAAAGGTTGTTCCCGAGGGTGGCGCCAAATTGAAAGTTTATCCCCGGGCGTCGGGAAGGGTCGCTACGCCTATGGTTGGAGGGGGGGGGGGAATGTGACGATGTGTGACGACAGTGGGGTTATGGGGAAAAAACCCAGAGACGACGTCATCAATTGACTGACCTCTGACCCCACCTTATTATAAAAACCACTTAAATAACGCTGCTGAACAATATCTGTTTATCAACTTATGTTTATCAACTTATGTTTATTTTCAACTTATGTTGTTTTCAACTTTAGTTTTTTTCAACTTTTTTTTTAACTTATGTTTATAAACTTAAGTTAATCAACTTATGTTTTTCAACTTATATTTATCAACTTATGTTTATAAACTTAAGTTAATCAACTTATGTTTTTCAACTTAAGTTTATCAACTTCTGTTGCCAACCAGTAGACACGGATTTGCCTTCATCGTGTCTCCATGGCAACCAGACTATGAATGTTAACAAGTGGAACTCACGAGAAGAGGGTCCCAGCGGCTTTGCTGTTGTAGATGTCACATCGGTGTAGTGGCCCTCGGTGACCTGCTGCGTCACACATGGCTTTGTGGAACTGGAACTGGATGACGAAACTGACGAAATACCTGGCAGTGGACAGGTGAGTCAAATATTGGAACAGGTGAGTCAAATATTGGAACAGGTGAGTCAAATATTGGAACAGGTGAGTCAAATATTGGAACAGGTGAGTCAAATATTGGAACAGGTGAGTCAAATATTGGCAGAGGACAGGTGAGTCAAATATTGGCAGAGGACAGGTGAGTCAAATATTGGCAGAGGACGGGTGAGTCAAATATTGGAACAGGTGAGTCAAATATTGGAACAGGTGAGTCAAATATTGGAACAGGTGAGTCAAATATTGGAACAGGTGAGTCAAATATTGGAACAGGTGAGTCAAATATTGGCAGAGAACAGGTGAGTCAAATATTGGCAGAGGACGGGTGAGTCAAATATTGGAACAGGTGAGTCAAATATTGGAACAGGTGAGTCAAATATTGGAACAGGTGAGTCAAATATTGGAACAGGTGAGTCAAGTATTGGAACAGGTGAGTCAAATATTGGAACAGGTGAGTCAAATATTGGAACAGGTGAGTCAAAGATTGGAACAGGTGAGTCAAATATTGGAACAGGTGAGTCAAATATTGGAACAGGTGAGTCAAATATTGGAACAGGTGAGTCAAATATTGGAACAGGTGAGTCAAATATTGGCAGGGAACAGGTGAGTGAAATATTGACAAGGAACATGTGAGTCAAATATTGGCAGGGAACAGTTGAGTCAAATATTGGAACAGGTGAGTAAAATATTGGCAGGGAACATGTGAGTCAAATATTGGAACAGGTGAGTCAAGTATTGGCAGGGAACAGGTGAGTCAAGTATTGGAACAGGTGAGTCAAATATTGGAACAGGTGAGTCAAATATTGGAACAGGTGAGTCAAGTATTGGAACAGGTGAGTCAAATATTGGAACAGGTGAGTCAAATATAGCAGGGAACAGGTGAGTCAAATATTGGAACAGGTGAGTCAAATATTGACAGGGAACAGGTGAGTCAAATATTGACAGGGAACAGGTGAGTCAAATATTGACAAGGAACAGGAGAGTCAACTACATCTGTCAACTCCATCTGTCAACTACATCTGTCAACTACAATTGTCAACTACATCATCTGTCAACTACATCTGTCAACTACATCTGTCAACTACATCTGTCAACTACATCTGTCAACTACATCTGTCAACTACACCTGTCAACTCACCTGATATAGGCCACATCAGCAGGCACGTGATATTTTGCTCCGGGATCAAAGTCTGACTCACTCCTCTCCACAGGCGACGACAGGCCCTGCAGGCGACACCTGTTAGATGACAGGTAATGTCACAACACTAAGACAGGTAATGTCATAACACTAAGACAGGTAATGTCACAACACTAAGACAGGTAATGTCACAACACTAAGACAGGTAATGTCATAACACTAAGACAGGTAATGTCACAACACTAAGACAGGTAATGTCACAACACTAAGACAGGTAATGTCACAACACTAAGACAGGTAATGTCATAACACTAAGACAGGTAATGTCACAACACTAAGACAGGTAGTGTCACAACACTAAGACAGGTAATGTCACATAAGTAACTGTACGATAAGTAATGTCACAACACTAACTATTTGACAGGTAATGTCACAACACTAAGACAGGTAATGTCACAGCACTAACTATACGACAGGTAATGTCACAACACTAAGACAGGTAATGTCACAACACTAAGACAGGTAGTGTCACAACACTAAGACAGGTAATGTCACAACACTAACTATACGACAGGTAATGTCACAACACTAGGACAGGTAATGTCACAACACTAACTATACGACAGGTAATGTCACAACTATACGACATGTAGCAAAGGGGAAGCAACTCGACCAATATAAAATGGGTTGACACCCGAAAAGTTTAGGGAGAGGTAGAGGGCAGTTTTTGAAAATATTTGAATTGATATAATAATCCTAAACGGCTTTTCAACGGCTTATATTCGATACAAAAATACACAAAAGAGTGTAATCGATGGTTCCCAATCAGATTTAAGTTTTTTAAAATGTAACTATAATTTTATCACCTGCTATATTTTAAATTTTTTTTTTTTAAAGTATGACTACATATACTTTTCAAGACTATTCCCCCAATCCTAAAATCATATCATTACACAAAATCCCACTATTATCCTAAATTCCGCCAATCCTAAAGTCATATCATCAAACAAAATCCCACTATTATCCTAAATTCCGCCAATCCTAAAGTCATATCATCAAACAAAATCCCACTATTATCCTAAATTCCGCCAATCCTAAAGTCATATCATCAAACAAAATCCCACTATTATCCTAAATTCCGCCAATCCTAAAATCATATCATCACACACAATCCCACTATAATCCTAAATTCCTTCAATCCTAAAATCATATCATCACACAAAATCCCACTATTATCGAAAACACACCATTACCTTAAATCCCACCAATGCTTGTTGTACTGGTCAGGCTTAGTGTCCCCTCTAAACACTGACCACCGCCACTGGTCAATGAGGTAACCAAATGGCAGGAAGGCGATCTTCTGTAGGGCAATCGTCATCAGGAAGTTGATGTCTGTCTCTGTGGACAAAAATCTGTTGTTTTACCGTGGCTGACGTCATACTTTTGACATATGGCTGACGTCATACTTTTGACATATGGCTGACGTCAAACTTTGACATATGGCTGACGTCACATTTTTTATATATGTCTGACGTCATACTTTGGACATATGGCTGACGTCATACTTTCAACACATACGTCTAGCTTTACTTGGTTCGAAGCAGGCGATTAATTGTTTAAGTTGGATACATGTTCTAGGGTTTTACGAGTGTAAACAAACATTTAGACATTGATGAAAGCCAGTGTGGACGGTACAATAACTGACAAATGGCTTCAGTGTTAGCGTGACGTAACGACTGCCACACGCCGTGTCAATGTTACCTGTGTCGTTTGGTACCTTCGCCAAAAGTCCGATCTGGTGCAGGTGTTCTGGGGTTTGAACAGATAACGTCATTGCGTCACCGATGGCTTCGTGAAATCCTGAAATAAAAAAAAAAACAAAGCAATTACAGACCTGTAGACCACTGAGCTCGTTTTTTGAGAAATCGGAAATGGCGTAAACTACTACTTCCGGTCAACAGAAATGTACTCAAAATTTGACAGAAAACAGAAAATTAGATCTTTTATTTAAATGTGAAATTTCGTTATCTATCTGAAACAGTACTCAAGTTTTATGCTTTGGAAAAACTAAAAGTAGAATATAAATCCCACTTTTGGTTATCGGAAATCCATGAAAAATTGATACAGAACTACAAATGTGATATAATACTTATATATGAAATTTCATTAACCTACTTGTAACGGTACTCAAGTTAGCGTGTTCATAGACACACACACACACATACATACACACACACATACACACATAGACATACGGACAAAATTGCAAAACTTTGTTTTTTCGACTCAGGGAGGTGTAAAACGTCGAGATTTGTAAAATTGTAAAAATCTCGATTTTTCTTTTGCATGATTGCAATACTTCCTCTGTAAATCGTATACGAGAAAGTAAAAGTTTTACCTGGATTGGCCCCCTCCCTGAAAATGACCGGCTGGTCCTTGTACTGCATGTAGTACTCCACGTGACCCATCTCATGGTGGATGGTCATCAGGTCCTCGTGATTTATTTGCGTGCACATCTTGATCCTGTGTCACGATAAAAGATTCAAACGTTGGATCAGTTTGGAAACATGTAAATAAAATTCTTTAGAAATGTGACACTCCTAATTATGGGTTGGGGTGGCAGGGGAAAATTGATACTTTTACTTAAAAAATTATTTTTAAAAAATGTTAAATAAATAAAATCTAGGGGGTCGGCGGTAAAGCTCATGGCTGCTAAACCGATAAACTCGAGTTCGAACCCGCGGGCAGATGAGGCTCGTTAGCTGGGGACAGCCACTCTTCTAGGAGAGACAACTGCAAAATCAAACAACTGCTGACTTGTAGTTTGTTCTTGATTGGATAAAGGCTATGGAAACAAATCCAAAAAGAAAAGCAGGCTGACATCGGAGTCAATGGCCTCAATGGCGCATAACCAGTTGACACGTATCCTTAATTGTGCTGGAGGGGACCCCTTTCCAACACTAAAATTAAGAACGTAGAGGAAGAAGAATAAAATCTAAACATGTATTAAAGGGAGCTTGTATATGGCTTTACAAGAGCAACGATGTATCAAAACAAAAAGGGTAGGAAATATCGAACCACCAAATATGGGTTCTAGTTTAATATAAGATGTAGACAAGTTCATGTTTTTACGGCGATCAAACCCACAAAGACCGAATGGATTAAAAATGTTTTAATTATTTCGTCAGCTTATATCAAGCGTTTATGTGTTGCGTTTCAACTGACAATCGAGTTATAATTTTTTTTAAACAAATTGCCATCTACATCAAATTGCTATAAGTTGATAAACCTAAACAAAACAAAACCCAGACAGATGAACAAATGGTCATTAAAATAAGAAGTCATTGTCTGTCTGAATTGTGTTTATCTGTGATTTACCTCAAGTCGTGTATGTGCAGGGTACCTGTAAGTTTGTGGTGTACTTGGGGTTTTCTGTGTTGTAATTTACCCCTCGACCTTTGGTTCACCCACCGTCTTTAAGCTCTAAGCTCTGTCTACCTGTGTTACTCGGCTTGTATGTCCAAAGATTGAGCTTCCGTCCTCTCCCCCCCCCACCCCACACATACTCAATGAAAAAAAAGGAAACAAAAATTGTTCGTAAAAAAACTTTACCTAAAATCTTGTTGGTTAAAGAAGTCCTGCGCGTAACCTTGACACATGACGTCACGTCCGTCTGCTGGTCTGACCATCATGGTCTTGTTCCAGAACTGTGGCACCATCGGCAGCAGACCCAGGGAGGTGAAGAACTCTTCAGACGTGAGGAACATTTTCTCCACCGTGTAATTCTGGTGGTCACGTGACGGAAATAGTGAGAGCGTTAGCTGTTCTGTCGTGTGGTGCCAGATGTCAAAGTCTTCTGACGTCACAGGTTAATGTTAGGGTTAAGTTTGGAGCGGTACAGACAGGGTTAGAGGAGAGGTTAGAAATCGATGTAGGGTTAGCAATGTGATTGTAATCTGCTGTAGCGTCTGTCGAGCATTAAAATAATACAACAGGGCTATTTTTTGTTAAATAAAAGTACATCAAACCTAACTGTAACTAGCCTCAGAGTTTCTGCCAGGCATCACTTTGGGGGGGGGGGGCTCTGACCCCCACCCCTCGAAGAAAGTCTACCGCCACCCCCCCCCCCCCTGTACGAGATGGAATTTATAAAGCAAACATACTTTTACTACTAGTGTCCGCCCCCCCCCCCCCGGAAAATGTTGACCCCCCCCCCCCGAAAATATCAAGTGCCCCACCCCCCACCCCCTGGAGAAAAAAGTCTGGAAGAAACACTGACTAGCCTAAATACCGAAAACAGCACTGTGCCTGAACCTAAACCTCTATTTTATATAAAGCATACATCTGAACCTAAACATAAACCTCACTCTCCCCACTGCACATTCGACCCAACCAACAATTGTAGTTTAGACATTACACAAACTGAGGTGCCACAGACCCACCTATCTGACCAACTCTTAGGCCCACATTCTAAGATCTGACAAGGTCTTAGACCAACCTGTTAAGATCCTAAGACCCACCTGTTAAGATCCTAAGACCCACCTGTTAAGAGCTTAAAACCCACCTGTTAAGATCTTAAGACCCACCTGTTAAGATCTTAAGACCCACCCGTTAAGATCTTAAGACCCACCTGTTAAGATCTGGTAATGTCTAAGACCCACCTGTTAAGATCTTATGACCCACCTGTTAAGAAATTACCCTTAGACCCACCTGTTAAGATCTTAAGACCCACCTGTTAAGATCTTATGACCCACCTGTTAAGAAATTACCCTTAGACCCACCTGTTAAGATCTTAAGACCCACCTGTTAAGATCTTATGACCCACCTGTTAAGAAATTACCCTTAGACCCACCTGTTAAGATCTTAAGACCCACCTGTTAAGATCTTATGACCCACCTGTTAAGAAATTACCCTTAGACCCACCTGTTAAGATCTTAAGACCCACCTGTTAAGATCTTATGACCCACCTGTTAAGATCTTAAGACCCACCTGTTAAGATCTTAAGACCCACCTGTTAAGATCTTATGACCCACCTGTTAAGATCTTAAGACCCACCTGTTAAGATCTTAAGACCCACCTGTTAAGATCTTAAGACCCACCCGTTAAGATCTTAAGACCCACCTGTTAAGATCTGGTAATGTCTAAGACCCACCTGTTAAGATCTTATGACCCACCTGTTAAGAAATTACCCTTAGACCCACCTGTTAAGATCTTAAGACCCACCTGTTAAGATCTTATGACCTACCTGTTAAGAAATTACCCTTAGACCCACCTGTTAAGATCTTAAGACCCACCTGTTAAGATCTTATGACCCACCTGTTAAGATCTTAAGACCCACCTGTTAAGATCTTATGACCCACCTGTTAAGATCTTAAGACCCACCTGTTAAGATCTTATGACCCACCTGTTAAGATCTTAAGACCCACCTGTTAAGATCTTAAGACCCACCTGTTAAGATCTTAAGACCCACCTGTTAAGATCTTAAGACCCACCTGTTAAGATCTTAAGACCCACCTGTTAAGATCTTAAGACCCACCTGTTAAGATCTTAAGACCCACCTGTTAAGATCTTAAGACCCACCTGTTAAGATCTTAAGACCCACCTGTTAAGATCTTAAGACCCACCTGTTAAGATCTTAAGACCCACCTGTTAAGATCTTAAGACCCACCTGTTAAGATCTTAAGACCCACCTGTTAAGATCTTAAGACCCACCTGTTTCTTTAACTCAGCCGTGACGTCTAACGTGGGTTTACCTGGGTACGGCAGCACCAGGTCTAGCAGGTAGTTCCAGCTCTGGCCCCACATGTTACCTGCAACGGTTCGTGTCTCAGTGACGTCATGTTACAAAAATAGACAGCAACCAGGGTACACAATTTTTATTTGTGTTAGCTTGCATGCGAGAAATTTAGAATTGCAATACTTAAATTTGTTATTTAAAATATACACCTACAAAAACTACCAATATTTCTTTTGGGTCTAATTCCTGGGGAAAAAACGTATTAAATTTCTTCGAAGAAAAAAAAACACTGGTTTACATGTTTTTGAAAAAAGGGAGTGCACCTTATTAGTAATATCGTTTTGATTTAAACCCCGATTTTAATTATATGTTAGCAACATAATTTAATTCAATTTGAAATGGAGACTGCGTGCTCATTATAAGGCAGTGGCGTAGCCAGGATCGTCTCAAGGGGGGGGGTTCCAATTTTTACCCGGGGACAAACTTTCGATTTGCACCCCCCCTCAAACTTTCGATTTGCACCCCCCCCCCTCAAACTTTCGATTTGCACCCCCCCCCCCCTCAAACTTTCGATTTGCACCCCCCCCCTCAAACTTTCGATTTGCACCCCCCCTCAAACTTTCGATTTGCACCCCCCCCCTCAAACTTTCGATTTGCACCCCCCCCTCAAACTTTCGATTTGCACCCCCCCCCCCTCAAACTTTCGATTTGCACCCCCCCTCAAACTTTCGATTTGCACCCCCCCTCATACTTTTTATATATACCGAGGGGTCTATGGGGGGGTTATGACCCCCCCTAACCCCCCCCTGCCTACGCCACTGTTATAAGGTTTGTATTTTAGACAACACTAGCAGACGTCAAATGAGTACCTAGGAGATGAGCGGGAATGTGCCCAGTCGACGGGAACTTGTCTGCGCCATATTTCTTCTTCAGGTGTCTGCGCACATGCGCGTGCAGTTGCTCATAGAGAGGCTTGATTTGTGCAAACAGCTCGGCCACATCCTGTTCGAAGGTCGCAGACTCGTACCATGATCTCCAGTAGTCGCCGGCATCCTGGTAACCTAGCAACGGAGACAATACGATATGGTTGCCTAGCAACCGAGACAATGCAGATGATAACTTAGCAACAAGGAGAAATATAATAACCTAGCAACCAAGTGGAATATTAAGGTATCCTAGCAACGAGAAGAAATATTATAGTAATGAGGATAAATATTATGGTTACCTAGCAACGGAGACAATACAGATGATAACATAGCAACAAGGAGAAATATAATAACCTAGCAAAAAGTGGAATAATAAGGTAACCTAGCAACGAGACGAAATATTATAGTAGCCTTGCAATGCGGATAAGTATTATTGTTACCTAGCAACGGGGAACATAAACAACTGTTTACTCACAGGAGGCCCGGACAGCGTCGTTCAGCAAGCTCACGTACTCAGCATACTTGTTCTTCATCTTCGCTCCCGTGGCGTCTCTCCAGCCCTTCCAGGCTTCCAGAAGTTTCTCGTAGTCGCTGGAGGTGGCCATCAGTCGTGAGATGTCTGGTGCCAGAGGAATGTCAGGTAACAGGTGTCTTAAGGTAATGTCTAACAGGTGTCTTAAGGTGAGACAATGGTGTCAGGTAACAGGTGTCTTAAGGTGAGACTATGGTGTCAGGTAACAGGTGTCTTAAGGTGAGACTATGGTGTCAGGTAACAGGTGTCTTAAGGTGAGACTATGGTGTCAGGTAACAGGTGTCTTAAGGTGAGACTATGGTGTCAGGTAACAGGTGTCTTAAGGTGAGACTATGGTGTCAGGTAACAGGTGTCTTAAGGTGAGACAATGGTGTCAGGTGACAGGTGTCTTAAGGTGAGACTATGGTGTCAGGTAACAGGTGTCTTGAGGTGAGACTATGGTGTCAGGTAACAGGTGTCTTAAGGTGAGACTATGGTGTCAGGTGACAGGTGTCTTAAGGTGAGACTATGGTGTCAGGTAACAGGTGTCTTAAGGTGAGACTATGGTGTCAGGTAACAGTTGTCTTAAGGTGAGACTATGGTGTCAGGTGACAGGTGTCTTAAGGTGAGACTATGGTGTCAGGTGACAGGTGTCTTAAGGTGAGACTATGGTGTCAGGTGAAAGGTGTCTTAAGGTGAGACTATGGTGTCAGGTGTCTTAAGGTGAGACTATGGTGTCAGGTAACAGGTGTCTTAAGGTGAGACAATGGTGTCAGGTGACAGGTGTCTTAAGGTGAGACTATGGTGTCAGGTGAAAGGTGTCTTAAGGTGAGACAATGGTGTCAGATAACAGGTGTCTTAAGGTGAGACAATGGTGTCAGGTGACAGGTGTCTTAAGGTGAGACAATGGTGTCAGGTGAAAGGTGTCTTAAGGTGAGACTATGGTGTCAGGTGTCTTAAGGTGAGACTATGGTGTCAGGTAACAGGTGTCTTAAGGTGATACTATGGTGTCAGGTGAAAGGTGTCTTAAGGTGAGACAATGGTGTCAGGTAACAGGTGTCTTAAGGTGAGACAATGGTGTCAGGTGACAGGTGTCTTAAGGTGAGACAATGGTGTCAGGTGAAAGGTGTCTTAAGGTGAGACTATGGTGTCAGGTGTCTTAAGGTGAGACTATGGTGTCAGGTAACAGGTGTCTTAAGGTGAGACTATGGTGTCAGATGAAAGGTGTCTTAAGATGAGACAATGGTGTCAGGTAACAGGTGTCTTAAGGTGAGACTATGGTGTCAGGTGAAAGGTGTCTTAAGGTGAGACAATGGTGTCAGGTGAAAGGTGTCTTAAGGTGAGACAATGGTGTCAGGTAACAGGTGTCTTAAGGTAATGTCTAACAGGTGTCTTAAGGTGAGACTATGGTGTCAGGTAACAGGTGTCTTAAGGTGAGACTATGGTGTCAGGTAACAGGTGTCTTAAGGTGAGACAATGGTGTCAGGTGACAGGTGTCTTAAGGTGAGACTATGGTGTCAGGTGACAGGTGTCTTAAGGTGAGACTATGGTGTCAGGTGAAAGGTGTCTTAAGGTGAGACTATGGTGTCAGGTGTCTTAAGGTGAGACTATGGTGTCAGGTAACAGGTGTCTTAAGGTGAGACAATGGTGTCAGGTGACAGGTGTCTTAAGGTGAGACTATGGTGTCAGGTGAAAGGTGTCTTAAGGTGAGACAATGGTGTCAGATAACAGGTGTCTTAAGGTGAGACAATGGTGTCAGGTGACAGGTGTCTTGAGGTGAGACAATGGTGTCAGGTGAAAGGTGTCTTAAGGTGAGACTATGGTGTCAGGTGTCTTAAGGTGAGACTATGGTGTCAGGTAACAGGTGTCTTAAGGTGATACTATGGTGTCAGGTGAAAGGTGTCTTAAGGTGAGACAATGGTGTCAGGTAACAGGTGTCTTAAGGTGAGACAATGGTGTCAGGTGACAGGTGTCTTAAGGTGAGACAATGGTGTCAGGTGAAAGGTGTCTTAAGGTGAGACTATGGTGTCAGGTGTCTTAAGGTGAGACTATGGTGTCAGGTAACAGGTGTCTTAAGGTGAGACTATGGTGTCAGATGAAAGGTGTCTTAAGATGAGACAATGGTGTCAGGTAACAGGTGTCTTAAGGTGAGACTATGGTGTCAGGTGAAAGGTGTCTTAAGGTGAGACAATGGTGTCAGGTGAAAGGTGTCTTAAGGTGAGACAATGGTGTCAGGTAACAGGTGTCTTAAGGTAATGTCTAACAGGTGTCTTAAGGTGAGACTATGGTGTCAGGTAACAGGTGTCTTAAGGTGAGACTATGGTGTCAGGTGACAGGTGTCTTAAGGTGAGACTATGGTGTCAGGTAACAGGTGTCTTAAGGTGAGACTATGGTGTCAGGTAACAGGTGTCTTAAGGTGAGACTATGGTGTCAGGTAACAGTTGTCTTAAGGTGAGACTATGGTGTCAGGTGAAAGGTGTCTTAAGGTGAGACTATGGAATCAGGTAACAGGTGTCTTAAGGTGAGACTATGGTGTCAGGTGAAAGGTGTCTTAAGGTGAGACAATGGTGTCAGGTAACAGGTGATGTCAAACAGGTGTCATAGGCTGATATAATGTCGCAGTTAACAGGTGGGGGGTTTGGGAGGCGTGAGGTTGGGGGTTGGGGATATCAGATGCTGGGGTTGTGGAGGCGTGATCAGTGTTTCTTCTTCGAGGGGGAGGACACTTGAAATTTTCAGGGGGGGGGGGGTGGACTCAAATTTTCGGGGGAGGGAGCGGACACTTTTAAAAGTATATATTTTCTATTTAAATTCCATTTCGTTCGGGGAGGGGGGGGGGGCGGTAGAATTTCTTCGGAAGGGGGGGGGAAAGCCAAACCCCCCGCCGAAGAGATGCTTGGTTGAAACTCTGGGCTTGATGGGGGTTGGGGATACGAGAGGGTGTGGGCTGGATAAGAATGACAATAATTTTTTTAAGCGTGCGCAGTGACTATTTAATTTTGTAAACCAGTGGTTGCGATAGCATAAGGGAGATAACATTGGTGTGGTTAAAGATAGAGTAAGGGAGGTAACATTGGTGTGGTTAAAGATAGCGTAATGGAGGTAACACTGGTGTGGTTAAATATAAGATTTACAATCACCTGGATCCAATGGCACACATTGAGAACCCTTGAGGCAGACCTTCCCAGTGTTGTAGATGGTCTCCATGTCGTTCTGAACTTCCTTCAGCTAGACACAGATAAGATGTGGTCAGTTAGACACAGATAAGATGTGGTCAGTTAGACACAGATAAGATGTGGTCAGTTAGACACAGATGAGATGTGGTCAGACACAGATAGGATGTGGTCAGTTAGACACAGATAAGATGTGGTCAGTTAGACACAGATAAGATGTGGTCAGACACAGATAAGATGTGGTCAGTTAGACACAGATAGGATGTGGTCAGTTAGACACAGACACAGATGTGGTCAGACACAGATGTGGCCAGTTAGACACAGATAAGATGTGGTCAGTTAGACACAGATAAGATGTGGTCAGTTAGACACAGATAAGATGTGGTCAGTTAGACACAGATAAGATGTGGTCAGACACAGATAAGATGTGGTCAGTAAGACACAGATAAGATGTGGTCAGTTAGACACATAAAAGATGTGATCAGTTAGACACAGATAAGATGTGGTCAGTTAGACACAGATAAGATGTGGTCAGTTAGACACAGATAAGATGTGGTCAGTTAGACACAGATAAGATGTGGTCAGTTAGACACAGATAAGATGTGGTGAGTTAAACACAGTTAAGATGTGGTCAGACACAGATACGATGTGGTCAGTTAGACACAGATAAGATGTGGTCAGTTAGACACAGATAAGATGTGGTCAGACACAGATAAGATGTGGTCAGTTAGACACAAATAAGATGTGGTCAGTTAGACACAGATAAGATGTGGTCAGCTAGACACAGATAAGATATGGTCAGTTAGACACAGGTAAGATGTGGTCAGTTAGACACAGATAAGATGTTGTCAGTTAGACACAGATAAGATGTGGTCAGACACAGATAAGATGTGGTCAGTAAGACACAGATAGGATGTGGTCAGTTAGACACAGACACAGATGTGGTCAGACACAGATGTGGCCAGTTAGACACAGATAAGATGTGGTCATTTAGACACAGATAAGATGTGGTCAGTTAGACACAGATAAGATGTGGTCAGACACAGATAAAATGTGGTCAGTAAGACACAGATAAGATGTGGTCAGTTAGACACATATAAGATGTGATCAGTTAGACACAGATAAGATGTGGTCAGTTAGACACAGATAAGATGTCGTCAGTTAGACACAGATAAGATGTGGTCAGTTAGACACAGATAAGATGTGGTCAGTTAGACACAGATAAGATGTGGTCAGTTAGACACAGGTAAGATGTGGTCAGTTAGACACAGATAAGATGTGGTCAGTTAGACACAGATAAGATGTGGTCAGACACAGATAAGATGTGGTCAGTAAGACACAGATAAGATGTGGTCAGTTAGACACAGACACAGATGTGGTCAGACACAGATGTGGCCAGTTAGACACAGATAAGATGTGGTCAGTTAGACACAGATAAGATGTGGTCAGTTAGACACAGATAAGATGTGGTCAGACACAGATAAGATGTGGTCAGTAAGACACAGATAAGATGTGGTCAGTTAGACACATATAAGATGTGATCAGTTAGACACAGATAAGATGTGGTCAGTTAGACACAGATAAGATGTCGTCAGTTAGACACAGATAAGATGTGGTCAGTTAGACACAGATAAGATGTGGTCAGTTAGACACAGATAAGATGTGGTGAGTTAAACACAGATAAGATGTGGTCAGACACAGATACGATGTGGTCAGTTAGACACAGATAAGATGTGGTCAGTTAGACACAGATAAGATGTGGTCAGACACAGATAAGATGTGGTCAGTTAGACACAAATAAGATGTGGTCAGTTAGACACAGATAAGATGTGGTCAGTTAGACACAGATAATATGTGGTCAGTTAGACACAGATAAGATGTGGTCAGACACAGATAAGATGTGGTCAGTTAGACACAGATAAGATGTGGTCAGACACAGATAAGATGTGGTCAGTTAGACACAGATAAGATGTGGTCAGTTAGACACAGATAAGATGTGGTCAGACACAGATAAGATGTTGTCAGTTAGACACAGATAAGATGTGGTCAGACACAGATAAGATGTGGTCAGACACAGATAAGATGTGGTCAGTTAGACACAGATAAGATGTGGTCAGTTAGACACAGATAAGATGTGGTCAGTTAGACACAGAAAAGATGTGGTCAGACACAGATAAGATGTGGTCAGACACAGATAAGATGTGGTCAGTTAGACACAGATAAGATGTGGTCGAGTCTAGCACCCATGTACCAAACTACTAAGCAGACAGATTAATTTACCCTTTGAACTTTTTTTTGGTTTGGCTCGGCAGATGGACCAATGGCCTTGATGAACTTGAACTGGCGCTGAACAATGTCTGGCATTCCTGTGAGGTTGAAGTTCAAGGCCAACTTTAGTTGTTCAAGATCGAAGTTGGCCTTGGCCATCTGCGCATCAACCTGGGGTAGATAGAAATAATAATAGACTTTTGGGGAAATTTTAACAATATATTTTTTGAGTAATTTAAAAAATAGACTTTTGGAGTGAGCTTAGATAGTGATTTTTGTTTGAACAGTAAATTCTAATTAAAATAATTGGACGAAATTCTTTAATTCTTTAAAAAGCGGGAGTGATATCCCCTAAACTTTCTTGAATATTCTTATTTCACACTACGGGGGATGACAATTTCTGATATAGAATATGATTTTTAATCAATTTCTAAATACTTACTATTTTTAAAATAGAATAGAATGTCGTAGAAAAAAAAACAATTGCACACCAAGTGAATGGAAAACAATATGTGTATAATAGTGCGGAATATTAGTACTTAATAAATTCATTTGCGTTTTTTGAGAAATCGGAAATAGCGTAAGCTACTACTTCCGTTTAGCGAAAATTACTCAAAATGTATCAGCAGGCAGAGAATTAGATCTTTTACTTACATGCGAAATTTCATTTATCTATCTGAAAAAGTACTAAAGTTATAAGCTTTTGAAAAATAAAATTGAAAGTAGAATAGGTTTCGATTCCGGTCATCGGAAATCGCTGAAAAGTTGATACAAAAGTAAAAATTTGATATGATACTTATATATGAAATTTTATCAACCTAGCTGTAACGGTACTCACGTCACAGTGTACACAGATATACAGACATATACACAAATACAGACATACGAACAAAATTGCAAAACTATGTTTTTCTTACTCGGGAAGGTGTAAAACGTCGAGATTTGTAAAAATCTCGATTTCGATTTTTTTACACGATTACAATACTTCCTCGGTACTTCGTTTACGAGAAAGTAAAAACATTGTTGCGATATAAAAAAAATAATTTAATAGATAGTCAAAATACATTTCTGTACAATTACATGTATCAGCTAGCACGATTTCTAAATAAAACAAGCTATGAAACAATATCCGAATACAGAGTTGAAATGTCAAAGTACCAGAGCTTTTTGGTTGTGGTCTGTGATGTTTGTCTTGAGCGTGAAGTCTGCCTCGCTGACTTGGTTTCGAACCTGCCCCGCCGTCTTGTCGTAGCTCTTGAGAAACTCGAACGCTTCAAACAGCGTCGAGTTCCCCGTCGTGTTGGTCGCGTGCCCACAGGCCACGCCCCCTTTGGCCTCACTCTCAGGACCCGACCCCTCCGAATTAGGGCACATGGGGTCCCAGCCGAAGTCGTTGCCGTTTTCCTTGCGCAGGAAGTCCAGGAGCGGCTGGAAGAACTCCATCAGGGGGCCGGCGTCCATCTTTCTCTGGCCGGTCAGGATTTCCATGGCGTCCGGCCAGGGTTTGGAGAGGCCGAGTCTCAGCATTGACCTGTTGGGGGGGGGGGGGGGGGGAAGGGTGGTTTAACGTTTGCTCTCTTACCATCTACCCATTGTCTCACCATCTACCCACGTGACCCACTGTCTCACCATTTACCCACTGTCTCACCATCTACCCACTGCCTCACCATTTACCCATTATCTCACCATTTACCCACTATCTCACCATCTACCCACTGCCTCACCATTTACCCACTATCTCACCATCTACCCACTGTCTCACCATCTACCCACGTGACCCATTGTCTCACCATTTACCCACTGTCTCACCATCCACCCACTGTCTCACCATCTACCCACGTGACCCACTGTCTCACCATCTACCCACGTGACCCACTGTCTCACCATTTACCCACTGTCTCACCATCTACCCACGTGACCCACTGTCTCATCATCTGAACACGTGACCCACTGTCTCACCATTTACCCACTGTCTCACCATCTACCCAGATGACACACTGTCTCACCATCTACCCACGTGAAACACTGTCTCACTATTTACCCACAGTATCACCCATGTACCCCCTTTACCAACTGTATCACCATCTACCCACGTGACCTACTGTCTCACCATCTTCCCACGTGACCCACTCACTGTATCACCATCTACCCCCGTCACTAACTGTCTCACCATCTACCCACTGTCTCACCGTCTACCCACGTGACCAACTGTCTCACCACCTACCCACGCCACCAACTGTTTCACCATTTACCCACGTCACTAACTGTCTCACCATCTACCCACTGTCTCACCATCCACCCACGTGATCGTCAACCAGCCTCGTTCCCCGCCAACCAATCAGCAACTAGCACGTGACTGACTCACCCAATCTTCTGGCCCGCCTCCTTGCTGCCGTAGATGTCGCACCTGTGTAGAGGTCCGGTCTGACCCGCGGCCTCACACAGGGCTTTGTGGAACTGGAACTGGACGATGAAACTCACGAAGTACCTGCAGGGGACAAAAAAACGTCACTTATTTATTACATTCATTTTACCCAGTGTTTTTTCCAGACGTTTTTCTCCGGGGGGGGGGGCGCGACAAAAATTTCCGAGGGGGGGGGGGGGGGGCGGACACTGTAAAAAGAATATATTTTCTATATAAATTCCATTTCGTTCGGGGGGGGGGGGGGCGGAAGAAACTCTGATTTTACCTTCCTCTTCACACACCCCCTACCACACGCTCTCCCCGCCTTCTCCGTCTTTTCTTCAGTTGGAGCTTTTTAATCATTTACTGTTGCTATACAGCGATTCTGCTCAGCTTCTTTAAGTACCTGACATTTGATTAAATGGAACGGCCCCACACGCTCACTTAACAACATCAGTTGGAATTTTTTTGGAGCTTAAATCTAAAAATCTTGGAGCTTATTTAAGTCGAAGGAATCTTGGAACTTATCTTAGTTGGGATAGCTTTAATTAATTTCTATGCACCCCCCCCCATCACATTTTTACACACGCTCCAAATCTCTGTCCCTCTAAATAAAAAAAAATTACCTGATGTAAGGCGTGTCCCCGGGCACGTGAAATTTGGCCCCTGGGTCAAAGTCTGACGAGGATCGGGCGACGGGCGGGAAAATTCCTTGCAGACGACATCTGGTGGAGGCAAAATAAATTTTATCTTCCGTTAATTAGCTAATTAAAATATGTCTGACGTTAAATAAATAAATAAAATAAATCCGGATTATATTTTTTTGGTGGTGTAAGTTCAACTTTAGGTACCACGCCTCACCCTCAATTAGATATAAGACCTTTAGGTTACATAATTAGGTCCCATCATTAAAACCCACTGGTACCTCAAGTCTCACCATTACCTTAAGTCCCACATTAGGTCCCTCAAATGGGTCCCACTACTATAGATAGCCCCCCCCCCCCCGCCCCATTACCTGAGGTCCCACCAGGCTGAGTTGTACGCCTCTGGTGGGGTGTCGCCCCTGAAGACTGACCACCGCCACTGGTCAATCAAGTATCCAAAGGGGAGAAAGGCGACTTTCTCGAGGGCGATCTTCATCAGGAAGTTGATGTCTGATTCTGTGGGGGAAACACAGGTAAAGGTCAAGTCTGATAACCTTTGACCCGTACATCCAATGGAAAACACAGGCAAAAGTCAAGTCTTTTAACCTTTGACCCGTACATCCAATGGAAAACACAGGCAAAAGTCAAGTCTTTTAACCTTTGACCCGTACATCCAATGGAAAACACAGGCAAAGGTCTAGTCTGATAACCTTTGACCCGTACATCCAATGGAAAACACAGGCAAAAGTCAAGTCATATAACCTTTGAACCTGACATTTATTGGAAAACAGGCAAAGGTCAAGTCTTATAACCTTTGACCCTGACATCTATCGGAAAACAAGGGCAAAGGTCAAGTCTTATAACCTTTGACGGGGTGCCAATCCGTGTCTATTTTTGTCCACCATATTCTACAGAATTACCCCTTGACCACCGGAAGAGCACAAAAACTCATGTAGGGCACAGAAAAAAAAATTATTTTTCGTTGCTAAGGAAACTAGCATAGCCACTTAATGGCGAGTGTTACCCGTTTGTCAGGACTAGACTCATGACATGACGGGGGGGGGGGGGGATGTATTACCTCTGTCTGTCGGCACCTTGTCCAAGAGTCCGATCTTGTTCAGGTGTTCTGGCGTCTGCACCGAGAGAGCCATGACGTCACCGGTGGCCTCATGGAACCCTGGAACCAAGCGGTCAATACGTGGCCATCAGATAAAATTAGTTATAAGTATTTCAACTACATTCAGCTTCTGTGTTTCTTTCAGACATTTTTTCCGAGGGGGTTGGGGGGGGCACTTGAACCATTCGGGGGAGGGGGGGGGGGGGCGGACACTGATTTATTTAAATTATATACATTGTTTCTATTATATTAAGTGAAATAGAGACAAAATTAATTTTTCGACTAAAGTTCTTCTTGAGAATTTTTTTTTCTCAGTAAGGTATAGTCGGTAAAAACTTGTTCACATAAAGTTACGACCAAATGGAATTCGCTATAAATATTTGCGATACTGTATTCATCGAAGTATCTCTTATGTGTGTGTAACAGACTGTATTCTTGAGTATGATTTATCATATAGTATTTAACATGAAGTTATATGAATGTAGAGTACCTGGCAAACGGAAGGACTGCGTGAGCGACTAGTCATGTTTTTCCATGCTTTTTGTGAGATCGCTCACTGACGTTAAGGGGAGAGAATGTAAGGTATAAAAGGGGAGCGCAAGGGGGACTAGCTGTGCCTGTATAGAAGAATGTTGGAAGATGTCACCGCGTCACTTTGTTTCTAAATTGTATTTTGATTATCCTTTTTTCTACTATGGATTTACCATCACTATTCTTGTGGATCTATTTGCTGATGTAAATAAAGTTATAAGTTGTAAGAACTGCTGATCGTATTCTTGGATGAAAGAACTCACAATAACACTGTATTGTCTCATCCACAAATACGTGTTGTTACAGAATATTAGGGCCAGTGACTTGATCACGTGACATGTAAGCCTCACCTGGATTGGCCCCGTCCCTGAAGACGATAGGCTGGTCCATGTACTGCATGTAGTACTCCACGTGACCCATCTCGTGGTGGGCGGTGACCAGGTCCACCTGGGTTATGTCCGTGCACATTTTGATTCTAGGAGACAAAGTTCATTCAAGATCTGGTTTTAGTTGTTACAACTGTACGCTAGGTTAGGGAAAGTGACTAACGGAATAGACACAACGCCACATACAGAAGACGTGAGCTCGCTTCACACAATTAACAACAAACACACTGCACACTTTAGCGGGTTACACACTAATAATGAGGAATTTAACTCACTACACACTTAAGCAGCTAAAAAAGTATAGCACAATAACACTAAAGCACCCCACACCCCACACACAACACACAGACGCACATACCACACTAAAGCACCACACACACAGAAGCACCCCTCACACTAAAGCTCCCCACACACAACACACTGACGCACATACCCCACTGAAGCACCCCACACACAACACACTGAAGCACCCCACACACTAAAGCACCCCACACACTAAAGCACCCCACACACAAATCACAGACGCACATAACACCCTGAAGCCCCTACCACACTAAAGCACCCCACACACATCACACAGAAGCACCTACCACACTAAAGCACCCCACACACATCACACAGAAGCACCTACCACACTAAAGCACCCCACACCCCACACACAGACGCACATACCACACTAAAGCACCCTACACCCCACACCCCACACACAACACACAGACGCACCTACCACACCGACGCACCTTCCACCCTAAAGCACCTACCACACTAAAGCACCTAACCACAAACCTGAAGTCCTCCTTGTTGTAGAAATCGTATGCCGTAGCGTGACAGACGAGGTCCCTCCCGTCATTGGGCTTCTCCAGGATCGACTTATCCCAGAACTTTGGCACCATCTTCATCAACCCCAGGGACTCAAAGAAACTGTCAGCTGTTTGGAAAATCTTCAAGGGTGTGTAGTTCTGTAACAAGACAATTATAGAAATACTCACGATAGAAAGCTAACGGGTAAAAGACGAGCAGGGTGTGTCGTGCCATCAATTTTGGTAATTCCACAACTCTTTATTTTAATCCTATTTCTGACTTATACTTTACAGTCATTACATTTAACCAGAAATATCGATTTAACCTCACCAACATTTATGATCAATAAAACCTTACCCTTTAAAGAAAAGGATAACCCTTAGTAACACTAAGTCTACGCCTACCAAAGCTTAGTTTGTCAAAATATTAGCGTCTCTTTCTACTGCAGCTTGTTATATTTTCTGATAAAAGTTGAAATGAGTGGCGAAAATCGCACATAACATAACACAAAACTAATAACAATACATAAGCAAAATCGTATCAAAATACATGTATAAACAAAAATGTGAATAAAATGTGAAAAGAATGTAAACAAAACTGTGAATAAAATGTGAAAATTGAAAGAACTGAAAAAAATGTTTAAAAACATTGAAAACTGTGAATAAATATGTGAATAAAATGTGAAAATGTTTTTAAAAAATCTAAAAACTGTGAATAAATATGTGAATAAAATGTAAAAACGTTTAAAAACAGTAAAAAATCTGTGAATAAAATGTGAAAACGTTTAAAAACAGTGAAAATAATGTAAACAAAACTTTGAAAAAAATGTGAAAATGTGAAGAGAACTGAAAAAAAAGTATAAAAACTGTGAAAAACTGCACCTGTTTAACCATTTCAGACGTGACGTCAAGAGTTGGCTTGTCCTTGTATGGTGTGAGCAGGTCAACGATTGACTCCCAGCTCTGGGCCCACATGTTACCTGAGAGTAGAGGTGGTACAGTGGGTGCGGGTATGTTCAAATGTTTGCGGGTAAACTGTGTGCGGGTAAACTGTGTGCGGTTATGGTCAACTGTGTGCGGGTATGGTCAACTGTGTGCGGGTATGTTCAACTGTGTGCGGGTATGTTCATCTGTGTGCGGGTAAACTGTGTGCGTGTATGTTTAACTGTGTGCGGGTATTACAACTGTGTGCGGGTATGTTCATCTGTGTGCGGGTAAACTGTGTGCGGGTATGTTCAACTTTGTGCGGGTATATCAACTGTGTGCGGGTATGTTCAACTGTGTGCGGGTATGTTCAACTGTGTGCGGGTATGTTCAACTGTGTGCGGGTATGTTCAACTGTGTGCGGGTATGTTCAACTGTGTGCGGGTATATCAACTGTGTGCGGGTATGTTCATCTGTGTGCGGGTAAACTGTGTGCGGGTATGTTCAACTGTGTGCGGGTATATTTACCTCAGACCTTCGGGTATATTTACCTCAGGCATTCTGTTATATTTACTTCATACATTCGGGTATATTTACCTCAGACCTTCGGGTATATTTATCTCAGACATTCGGGTATATTTACCTCAGACCTTCGGGTATATTTACCTCAGACATTCGGGTATATTTACCTCAGACATTCGGGTATATTTACCTCAGACCTTCGGGTATATTTACCTCAGACATTCGGGTATATTTACCTCAGACCTTCGGGTATATTTACCTCAGACATTCGGGTATATTTACCCCAGACATTCGGGTATATTTACCTCAGACATTCGGGTACATTTACCTCAGGTATTCGGGTATATTTACCTCAGACATTCGGGTATATTTATCTCAGACATACGGGTATAGTTACCTAAAATATGTGCAGGTATGTGCCCAGATTTGGGGAAGAACTTCTCCCCATAGACGACCTTGAGCCTCCTCCTGACAAAACCGTGCAGCTGCTCGTACAAGGGCATCACCTGCCCCAGAAGGTTGGCCACGTCAGCTTCAAAGGTCGGCGACTCGTACCACGATCTCCAGTGCTCACCTACATCTTTGAAGCCTGGAACCAAATGTGGTGAGTAAGGTGGGGTCATTGACCTAATGTTAAACCAGTTGGTGGGTAGGGAGGGGTCATTGACCTAATGATGATTGACCGCTTATAACCAGAGGCGTAGTGGCTCATCCCGGCGCATGGGACGAAATACTTAAATTACGCCCCCCCCCCCCCCCCCAATTTGGGTAGATGGGTGATGGGGGTGCTTTTTGTCAGTCATTTTCTGATTTTTATCATGGTGTGGAACAAGTTATATATTTAAAAAAAACAGTTAAAATTCCGTAAAACCATTTAGAAGTCTTTTTGCTAAACTTCGATTGTGTATAATGCCATAATGCAGCTCAGAATAACGTTTTCATTTCTCTTTCCACCCAATTTGGCGCCCTCTCAGGTAAGTGTCCTGGGCAGCCCCACGCCCGACCTCCCTTAGCTACGCCTTTGTCTAACGACTAAATCCTGACTAACGACTAAATCCTGACGAACGACAAAATTTAGAGTAAAAATGATTGAGTTACATGAAGCGTTCACGGCACTGTTGTAGAGCTGGACATATTCTTCGTACTTCTTCTTCATCTTCGGCCCCGTGACGTCTCGCCAGCCTTTCCATGCTGCCATCAGCTCGTAGTAGTCCCGTGAGTCACTCATTAGACGGGTCAAGTCTGGGCAGAGGTGTGGGTTAGGTGTGGGTTAGGGTTAGGTGTGGGACTAAATCATAAGGCGGGTCAAGTCTGGGCAGAGGGTTGGGTTAGGGTTAGGTGTGGAACTAAATCATAAGGCGGGTCAAGTCTGGGCAGAGGGTTGGGTTAGGGTTAGGTGTGGGACTAAATCATAAGGCGGGTCAAGTCTGGGCAGAGGTGAGGGTTAGGGTTAGGTGTGAGACAAAATAAGTCGCTCATAAGGCGGGTCAAGTCTGGGCAGAGGTGTGGGTTAGGGTTAGGTGTGGGACTAAATCATAAGGCGGGTCAAGTCTGGGCAGAGGGTTGGGTTAGGGTTAGGTGTGGAACTAAATCATAAGGCGGGTCAAGTCTGGGCAGAGGGTTGGGTTAGGGTTAGGTGTGGGACTAAATCATAAGGCGGGTCAAGTCTGGGCAGAGGTGAGGGTTAGGGTTAGGTGTGAGACAAAATAAGTCGCTCATAAGGCGGGTCAAGTCTGGGCAGAGGTGTGGGTTAGGGTTAGGTGTGGGACTAAATCATAAGGCGGGTCAAGTCTGGGTAGAGGTGTGGGTTAGGGTTAGGTGTGGGACTAAATCATAAGGCGGGTCAAGTCTGGGCAGAGGTGTGGGTTAGGGTTAGGTGTGGGACTAAATCATAAGACGGGTCAAGTCTGGACAGAGGTGTGGGTTAGGGTTAGGTGTGGAACTAAATAAGTCTCTCATAAGGCGGGTCAAGTCTGGTCAGAGGTGTGGGTTAGGGTTAGGTGTGGAACTAAATAATAAGGCGGGTCAAGTCTGGGCAGAGGTGTGGGTTAGGGTTAGGTGTGGAACTAAATCATAAGGCGGGTCAAGTCTGGACAGAGGTGTGGGTTAGGTGTGGGACTAAATCATAAGGCGGGTCAAGTCTGGACAGAGGTGTGGGTTAGGGTTAGGTGTGGGACAAAATCATAAGGCGGGTCAAGTCTGGGCAGAGGTGTGGGTTAGGGTTAGGTGTGGGACTAAATAATAAGGCGGGTCAAGTCTGGGCAGAGGTGTGGGTTAGGGTTAGGTGTGGGACTAAATCATAGGATATACAAGTCTTTCTTTACACGGGTCAAGTATGGATGGATTTTTGGGTTAGGGTTAGGTGTGGAACAAAATCATCTGACACACGGTTAAAGTAACATGTAGTATTGTGTGCTAATGTGTTAGTGAACTGTTTGTTTAGAGAGGCTGACTAACACACAACCGTTAATCCTAAAGACGTCGAAAGACGCCCGGCATTAGATTCCCACAACAGACACACGTGTCACAGATTCACACAACAGACACACGTGTCACAGATTCCCACAACAGACACACGTGTCACAGACTCACACAACAGACACACGTCTCACAGACTCACACAACAGACACACGTCTCACAGACTCACACAACAGACACACGTCTCACAGACTCACACAACAGACACACGTCTCACAGACTCACACAACAGACACACGTCTCACAGACTCACACAACAGACACCCGTGTCACAGACTCACACAACAGACACACGTCTCACAGACTCACACAACAGACACACGTCTCACAGACTCACACAACAGACACACGTCTCACAGACTCACACAACAGACACACGTCTCACAGACTCACACAACAGACACACGTCTCACAGACTCACACAACAGACACACGTCTCACAGACTCACACAACAGACACACGTCTCACAGACTCACACAACAGACACACGTCTCACAGACTCACACAACAGACACACGTCTCACAGACTCACACAACAGACACACGTCTCACAGACTCACACAACAGACACACGTGTCACAGACTCACACAACAGACACACGTCTCACAGACTCACACAACAGACACACGTCTCACAGACTCACACAACAGACACACGTGCCACAGACTCACACAACAGACACACGTCTCACAGACTCACACAACAGACACACGTCTCACAGACTCACACAACACACACACGTGCCACAGACTCACACAACAGACACACGTCTCACAGACTCACACAACAGACACACGTCTCACAGACTCACACAACAGACACACGTCTCACAGACTCACACAACAGACACACGTGTCACAGACTCACACAACAGACACACGTCTCACAGACTCACACAACAGACACACGTCTCACAGACTCACACAACAGACACACGTGCCACAGACTCACACAACAGACACACGTCTCACAGACTCACACAACAGACACACGTCTCACAGACTCACACAACAGACACACGTGCCACAGACTCACATAACAGACACACGTCTCACAGACTCACACAACAGACACACGTGTCACAGACTCACACAACACACACACGTCTCACAGACTCACATAACAGACACACGTCTCACAGACTCACACAACAGACACACGTGTCACAGACTCACACAACAGACACACGTGTCACAGACTCAAACAACAGACACACGTCTCACAGACTCACACAACAGACACACGTGTCACAGACTCACACAACAGACACACGTGTCACAGACTCACACAACAGACACACGTGTCACAGACTCACACAACAGACACACGTGTCACAGACTCACACAACAGACACACGTCTCACAGACTCACACAACAGACACACGTCTCACAGACTCACACAACAGACACACGTGTCACAGACTCACACAACACACACACGTCTCACAGACTCACACAACAGACACACGTCTCACAGACTCACACAACAGACACACGTCTCACAGACTCACACAACAGACACACGTGTCACAGACTCACATAACACACACACGTCTCACAGACTCAAACAACAGACACACGTCTCACAGACTCACACAACAGACACACGTCTCACAGACTCACACAACAGACACACGTAGCATAGCTCTAGCGACAGACAACAGTCCACAGTCTAACGAAAGTCAGTCTAGTGTTCCACAGACCCATGTTCCCCAGACCCATGTTCCACTGACCCGTGTTTCCCAGACCCGTGTTCCACAGACCCGTGTTCCCCAGACCCGTGTTCCACAGACCCGTGTTCCCCAGACCCGTGTTCCCCAGACCCGTGTTCCACAGACCCGTGTTCCCCAGACCCGTGTTCCCCAGACCCGTGTTCCCCAGACCCGTGTTCCCCAGACCCGTGTTCCACAGACCCGTGTTCCCCAGACCCGTGTTCCACAGACCCGTGTTCCACAGACCCGTGTTCCCCAGACCCGTGTTCCACAGACCCGTGTTCCCCAGACCCGTGTTCCACAGACCCGTGTTCCACAGACCCGTGTTCCACAGACCCGTGTACCACATACACCTGTTCCTCACCTGGTTCTAGAGACAGACACCTGTCCCATGCCGTGCACACCTCCGCTGAGCCATAGATGGACTCCATTTCTACTCGCACTTGCTTCAGCTTGATGAAACAATATAAAGTCAAGATAATGATGTGGAGGAAGTCATGTGATGAAGTCATGTGATGAAGTCATGTGATGAAGTCATGGGATCCAGGTTCACTTTACTTGTAACTCGTTATGCTGGAACCTCCTCCCACCCTACACATTATCTAAAACCTCACCTTCCCTGTCCCACCCTACCCTACCCTTTGTCTGAAACCTGCCCCTCTACCCTCCCCTCCGACTCCACCCCGTCTGAAACCTGCCCCTCTACCCTCCAACCCCACCCTACCCTTGTCTGAAACCCGCCCCTGTACAATCCTCCCCCCCCCCCTCCGACCCGATTGTAGGAAAAAAAGTCACAGGAAAAAAAAACACAGGAAAAAAAACACAGAAAAAAAGTCACAGGAAAAAAAGTCACAGGAAAAAAAGTCACAGGAAAAAAAGTCACAAATATATATTTGCATGATATTTGATAATACTTTTATGTATTAAATATTTAGAGAGTGCAAATTAACTTAGGATTAATTAAATGTAATGTAATGTGTGTAGGCTGTATACGCATAGGAATTTTTATAATTCATCTTAAAATATCTATTATGAAGTATGTAGATTGTAATTATTTTAAACTTAAGATTAGTAGCATTTAATAGAATGCTCCAAAGCCACGGTTTTCATCGTGTTTTTTTATAAAACTGGTTACTGGCTTGTCTAGTAGTATGGATTCTTTTCTTACAACTAAAATACTTCCATTAAATAAAAAGATAATATATACTAAATCAATTTTCTTATATAAAATATTCCACGAAACAGCCCCCTCTTACTTATCAGATCTATTTTCTTTTAACATAAAATTAGGTCGTCGTCTCAATTTACCATTCCCTTATTCAACCTTTTTCCAAAAACATAGCTTCGCCTACTCTGGTTCTAATTTGTGGAACAATCTTCCTAATAAAATAAAGCTATCTAGATCTGAAAATATATTCAAATCTAAATTAAAACTAAAATTATTTAATGACCTAACTGACTCATTGTAACATTTCTCATTCATCTATTATATTCTCTTTTTTATCTCATTATGTATGATTGCTATGTACCATTGTTTCTTTATTCCACATTTTCAGTGCTATGTGTTACTGCTATGTGTTATTGAATTGTTTTATTTGTTTAAACGGCCAATGTGAAAAAAGGCCTTTGTGCCTACAATTGTAACCGTTGTTTGAATAAATTTGAATAAATTTGAAATTTGAATTTAATACCATTAAATTACCGTGAAATGGTAAGTTCATCTGACTTGCTGCTCTCAACTCATGGCAACAATAGTTATGTTTAGTTCAACCACCTTTACTGCCCACATGTATCACGCTCATTACATAACAAAACTTAGGATCAAAACAGAAAGCCGACAAGGTTCAAAGGCTGTCATTGACGCATAACGTCAACAACACAACATATGTTCGGACAATGCCTACTGAGGAGAAGCCGACCAGAGAATAGCCTACGGCAAAATGTGCCTAAATTTCTTTTATAATTAACTTTTCTACCGCGTATTTAACTAAATACGTAACAAAACTTGAGATTTTTGTTTTAATTATCTTAGAGTATTTTTACTTACAATTATTATAAATCATAATGCTTTTAACGTCTATAAATAATTTATGCTATCAAAAAATACAACCCACAACAATAAACATACACAATTTTACAATTCTTAACAAATTAATAAAAATATTTCTAAAAAGATTTTTGTGACTTTTTTTCTGTGACTTTATTTCTGTGACTTTATTTCTGTGACTTTTTTTCCGATAAAATTTTTCCATTGTGACTTTTTTTCTGTGACTTTTTTTCCTAGCAAAAACTGTGACTTTTTTTCTGTGTTTTTTTTTTCCTGTGACTTTTTTTCCGTTTACCCTCCGACCCACCCCATCCCGTGTCTAACACCTCACCCTCTACCCTACACCTCCGACCCCACCCCACCCCGTGTCTAACACCTCACCCTCTGAAGCTTGGCCCGGTCGGGCTGGGCGGCAGATCCAATCTCCCGGATAAACTTGAACTGCCGTCTCATGGATTCAGGCATCGCGGTGACGTTGTACACAAGAGATTCCTTGAACTTTCTCAGGTCAAACTCCGCCTGCTCCATCTCCAGCTTCACCTGAAGGAGACACAACAAGATCTGTTGCCTCAGCTGGACTGGACAATCAACGGTCAATTTAGGGGCTAGAGCTAATTAAAGTAATCTGTGTGTGCAAACGAACGAAACAAAATTCACTGTTTGTACTGTTAGAGCAGGGAATTAGAGCTAGAGCTCATTAAATTATCAAATTATGCAAAGGAATGTAACAAAAGTCATTGTTTGTACTGTTAGAGTAAGCAGGGATTTAGGGCTAGAGCGAATTAAAGATCGGTGTCGTCAACGAAATAGTTCATTATTAGACCACCCTAGAGGCTAAACCCGAAAGTCTCGAGTTCGAATCCGGACTCAAGTCAGTGGAACGTTCCTGAGCAGATTTTCTTCCAGGCATCTCTTCAGGGGGGGGGGGGGGAGAGAAAGTCTACCTCCATCCCGAACGAGATGGAATTTATATAGCAAACATATTTACTTGTGTCCGCCCCCCCCCCCCCGGAAAATGTTGACCGCCCTCCCCCGAAAAAATATCTAGTGCCCCCCCCCCGGAGAAAAAAGTCTGGAAGAAACACTGTTCCTGAGTCCACGCCGCTCATGTGGCAGATGTGACAAAAATAAAACATGGCAGTTTCGTGGTTGTTAAAAACTTTTGGCGGCTTTTGAACATGTTTGAGATTATCCAAAAATAACTTACAAAATTGTCTTCGTTTTCTTTGGTCAGATTTGATTCGTACGCGTACTCCGCTTCTTTGACTCTGTATTTTATATCACCAGCCTCTTTGTCATACGATTCCAAGAAGGTGAAGGCCAAGGGAATATCAGTGACGGTTCCGGTTCTGGTATTTTCGAGGCACTTCTCTCTCTGGTCGTTCGTGTCGGCTGGGGTGTCAGAGATGGGGGCGGGGGACGGGCACTGGGGGTCCCAGCCGTAGTCGTTGCCGTTTTGCTTGCGGAGAAATTCCATGAGGGGGTGGAAATATTCCAGGAGAGCCCCAGCGTCCATCCTGTCCTGACCGGTCATGTTTTTCATGGCCACAGGCCAGGGCTGGGAGGCCCCGAGTTGCATCATGCCCCTGGGGATAGAGGTTGTGGGGTGGGGTTGTTTATCATGCCCCTGGGGATAGAGGTTGTGGGGGTGGGGGTGTTTATCATGCCCCAGGGGATACACAAGAGGCTAGGGGGTGGGATGTATCATGCCCCTTAGGGGCAAACCCTCCTAACCAGGACAAACAACACCTACTTGAAGAGATCCCCCCCCACGAACCAAGACCAACATGACCTACTTGAAGAGATCCCCCAACCAAAAGAAACATGACCTACTTGAAGAGATCCCCCTACCAAAACAAACATGACCTACTTGAAGAGATCCCCCATTCAAGACCAAAATAACCTACTTGAAGAGACCCCTCCAACCAAAACAAACATGACCTACTTGAAGAGATTCCCCGCCAAGACCAACATGACATACTTGAAGAGATCCTCCCCCAAACAAAACAAACGTGACCTACTTGAAGAGATCCCCCAACCAAAACAAACATGACCTACTTGAAGAGATTCCCATCCAAAACAAACATGACCTACCTGAAGAGATCCCCCCCCCCACCAAGACCAACATGACCTACCTGAAGAGATTCCCCCCCCCCCCACCAAGACCAACATGACCTACCTGAAGAGATTCCCCCCCCCCCCCCACCAAGACCAACATGACCTACCTGAAGAGATTCCCCCCCCCCACCAAGACCAACATGACCTACCTGAAGAGATTCCCCCCACCAAGACCTCTTTTCTTCTTCTTCTTCTTCGTTCTTAATTATTAGTGTGGAAGGGGATCGAGATTTATCTGCCAGTGGGTTTGAACTCGAGACTTATTTCGAATTTATCAACCATGAGCTTTTTTTGCCGACTCGACCACGCCTCCAACGCAATTAAGCGTTACGTGTCAACTGGTTATGCGCCATTGAGGTCATTGACTCCGATTTCAGCCTGCTTTTCTTTTTGGATTTTTGCTTCCATAGCCTTTGTCCAACCAAGAACAAACTACAAGGCAGCAGTTGTTTAATTTTGGAGTTGTCTCTCCTAGAAGAGTGGCTGTCCCCAGTTAACGAGCCTCATCTGCCCGAGGGTTCGAACTCGAGACTTTTCGGTTTAGCAACCATGAGCTTTACCGACTCGACCACGCCGACCCCTCCACCAAGACCAACATGACCTACCTGAAGAGGTCCCCCCCAACCAAAACAAACATGACCTACCTGAAGAGATCCCCCCAACCAAGATGACCAACATGACCTACTTGAAGAGGTCCCCCACCCCCACCAAGACCAACTTGACTAACCTGAAGAGGTTCTCTAACCAAAACCAACATGACCTACCTGAAGAGATCCCCCCCCCCCACCAAAACCAACATGACCTAACTGAAGAGATCCCCCCCAACCAAGATGACCAACATGACCTACTTGAAGAGATCCCCCACCCCCACCAAGACCTACATGACCTAACTGAAGAGATCCCCCCCAACCAAGATGACCAACATGACCTACTTGAAGAGATCCCCCCCCCCCCCACCAAAACCAACATGACCTAACTGAAGAGATCCCCCCCAACCAAGATGACCAACATGACCTACTTGAAGAGATCCCCCACCCCCACCAAGACCTACATGACCTAACTGAAGAGATCCCCCCCAACCAAGATGACCAACATGACCTACTTGAAGAGATCCCCCACCCCCACCAAGACCTACATGACCTACCTGAAGAGGTCCCCTAACCAAGATGACCTACATGACCTACCTGAAGAGGTCCCCCGCATCCCTGCTGTTGTAGATGTCACACCTGTGCAGGGGCCCCGTGTGGCCGGCGGCCTGACAGGCGGCCTTGTGGAACTGGAACTGGATGATGAATGACACGAAGTACCTGTGGATAATGGATGGGATAGCTACATGTGGATGGGGGAGCTACATGTGGATGGGATAGTTGGATGTGGATGGGAGAGCTACATGTGGATGGGATAGCTACAGGTGGGTGGGATAACTGCAGGCTGGCTGATACAGGTAGATGAACAAGCTAATTGTATAATGAATACAGTTAAATACAAAAGTACGAACATATTAGAAATAAAGGATAAGTAATTTTACCTAATGCAACGGTCATTGGATGCTTTGCTAAGCTAATGTAAGGAATAGGGGAAATGGTATTTAGCCAAAGTAAAGAACATGGGATGTGGAGCAAACCGAATGTAAGGAACATGGGACATGATGTTTACCTGATGTAAGGAACATGTGACATGATGTTTACCTGATGTAAGGAACATGGGACATGATGTTTACCTGATGTAAGGAACATGGGACATGATGTTTACCTGATGTAAGGAACATGGGACATGATGTTTACCTGATGTAAGGAACATGGGACATGATGTTTACCTGATGTAAGGAACATGGGACATGATGTTTACCTGATGTAAGGAACATGGGACATGATATTTACCTGATGTTAAGAACATGGGACATAATGTTTACCTGATGTAAGAAACATGGGACATGATGTTTACCTGATGTAAGAAACATGGGACATGATGTTTACCTGATGTAAGGAACATGGGACATGATGTTTACCTGATGTAAGAAACATGGGACATGATGTTTACCTGATGTAAGGAACATGGGACATGATGTTTACCTGATGTAAGGAACATGGGGAATGATGTTTACCTGATGTAAGGAACATCTGCAGCCACGTGATATTTGGCCCCAGGGTCAAAGTCTGAGGAAGATCTTGGTATCGGAGACGACAGTCCCTGGTATCTGCACCTGGAGGTTGGAGGGTGACAGGGTGTTTGAGGAATTACAGGTGTCACACAGTAGCAGCATCACGCAGGTACACCACAACATCATCACACACGTACACATACAACCTCATCACACACACACATCACACACACACACGCAACAACATCATTACGTACAATGCCTTTACTTAGGACCTTTACTATTTTTTTCCAATTCTCAAAGTTGTCACTTTGCGGATTCTATCAAAACATACCCAAAAAAATCCCACCCATAAACTTACTTTAAATCCCACCCATCAACTAACTATAAATCCCACCCATCAACTTACTTTAAATCCCACCTATAACCTTACTTTAAATCCCACCCATCAACTTACTTAAAATCCCACCCATCAGCTTACATTAAATCCCACCCATCAACTTACTTTAAATCCCACCAGTACTTGGTGTAGTTGTCGGGCGTGACGTCACCTCTAAACGCTGCCCAGCGCCAGAGGTCAGTCAGGTAACCAAATGGCAGGAAGGCGAGTTTCCTGAGTGCCATGGACATCAGGAAGTTGACGTCACTCTCTAAATCAGGACAAACGTTCACAATCATTTGATGTCTTAAACTACAGGTCAAGAGCTATTCGGAGTTCGAACGACTCATATTACGAATACTCCTGAGTATAAGCACCTAGAGGCTCGAACTTCTCGAATTACATACGAAACCCATGAGCTCATAATGTTCGCAGCCCAAGGCTTTAAGCAGAAATTGTATAAAACTAGAAAGCGAGCTTTTAGGGAGATGAATTACCCGTGTACCACATTATGTTACAACTTTAGAAAGCCAAAGTCTAGAGAGAAGAATTGACCGTGTCCCACATTTTGCTACAACTTTAGAAAGCTAAAGTCTAGAGAGAAGAATAGACCGTGTACCACATTAAGTTACAACTTTAGAAAGCTAAAGTCTAGAGAGAAGAATTGACCGTGTCCCACATTTTGCTACAACTTTAGAAAGCTAAAGTCTAGAGAGAAGAATAGACCGTGTCCCACATTTTGCTACAACTTTAGAAAGCTAAAGTCTAGAGAGAAGAATAGACCGTGTCCCACATTTTGATACAACTTTAGAAAGCTAACGTCTAGAGAGAAGAATAGACCGTGTCCCACATTTTGCTACAACTTTAGAAAGCTAAAGTCTAGAGAGAAGAATAGACCGTGTCCCACATTTTGATACAACTTTAGAAAGCTAACGTCTAGAGAGAAGAATAGACCGTGTCCCACATTTTGCTACAACTTTAGAAAGCTAAAGTCTAGAGAGAAGAATAGACCGTGTCCCACATTTTGCTACAACTTTAGAAAGCTAAAGTCTAGAGAGAAGAATTGACCGTGTCCCACATTTTGCTACAACTTTAGAAAGCTAAAGTCTAGAGAGAAGAATAGACCGTGTCCCACATTTTGCTACAACTTTAGAAAGCTAAAGTCTAGAGAGAAGAATAGACCGTGTCCCACATTTTGCTACAACTTTAGAAAGCTAAAGTCTAGAGAGAAGAATAGACCGTGTCCCACATTTTGATACAACTTTAGAAAGCTAACGTCTAGAGAGAAGAATAGACCGTGTCCCACATTTTGCTACAACTTTAGAAAGCTAAAGTCTAGAGAGAAGAATAGACCGTGTCCCACATTTTGCTACAACTTTAGAAAGCTAAAGTCTAGAGAGAAGAATTGACCGTGTCCCACATTTTGCTACAACTTTAGAAAGCTAAAGTCTAGAGAGAAGAATAGACCGTGTCCCACATTTTGCTACAACTTTAGAAAGCTAAAGTCTAGAGAGAAGAATAGACCGTGTCCCACATTTTGTTACAACTTTAGAAAGCTAAAGTCTAGAGAGAAGAATAGACCGTGTCCCACATTTTGTTACAACTTTAGAAAGCTAACATTTAGAGACAAGAATCGACCGTGTCTTTTGTTACAACTTTAGAAAGCTAAAGTCTAGAGAGACACACGACCCCGCCTCACCTTTGTCGTCCAGAAACTCTGTCAACAGGTTGATCTTCTTCAGGTGCTCAGGTGTCTGGACTGACAGGGCCATGACGTCACCGATTGCCTCGTGGAAACCTAGGAAAGAAAGTAATCAGCAGGTCTTAGGTTTAGTCGTGTTCTTTGGGGGGGGGGGGGGGCAATTTGTCTGGTGTGTTTACATTTTTCAAGGACAAGGGCTGGTATAATTTGTTTACGATCTGCGAGTTTCTTTCAGGCATTTCTACAGCACTGTCCCTAGGAGGAGATCAGAGTTTCTTCCAGGCATCTCTTCGGGGGGGCAAAGCCCCCCCGCAAATTTTTTACCGCCCCCCCGAACGAAATGAAATTTATATAATTTATATAGAAAATATATACTTTTAACAGTGTCCGCCCCCCCGAAGAAAGTTTACCGCCCCCCCCCCCCCCCCGAAGATTTCAAGTGCCCCCCCGGAGAAAAAAGTCTGGAAGAAACACTGGAGGAGATTATCTGAATGTGTTGTTGACCATCAAATGTGTTGTTGACCTTCTGAATAATTTGATTGTTTATTGTGTATTTTTCAAACGCTTATCAGCTAACAAGGTGACCTCAAAAGGAAATGTAATTGCTGTGTCACTGAGTCTACTCAGCTGTTATAGGTACCTGGCTAATTTTTAACAGTTTTCGGGTAACCCTGCCTCTAACAATCTGATTCCTACATGAAACAGGTTGTGTGTAGGCCACAGCTATGCTGACACCATACTTGTAGACCAGACACATATCATGGGGACCTATCGTTGGTGCTATCCTAGAGACCACAGGCTAATCCTAGAGACCACAGGCTAATCCTAGAGACCACAGGCTAATCCTTGAGACTACAGGCTAATCATGAAGACCACATGCTAATCCTTGAGACTACAGGCTAATCCTGGAGACCACAGGCTAATCATGGAGACCACAGGCTAATCCTTGAGACTACAGGCTAATCCTGGAGACCACAGGCTAATCATGGAGACCACAGGCTAATCCTTGAGACTACAGGCTAATCCTGGAGACCACAGGCTAATCATGGAGACCACAGGCTAATCCTTGAGACTACAGGCTAATCCTGGAGACCACAGGCTAATCATGGAGACCACAGGCTAATCCTTGAGACTACAGGTTAATCCTGGAGACCACAGGCTAATCATGGAGACCACAGGCTAATCATGGAGACCACAGGCTAATCCTTGAGACTACAGGTTAATCCTGGAGACCACAGGCTAATCATGGAGACCACAGGCTAATCATGGAGACCACAGGCTAATCCTTGAGACTACAGGTTAATCCTGGAGACCACAGGCTAATCATGGAGACCACAGGCTAATCCTTGAGACTACAGGTTAATTCTCTTGACGACAGGTTAATCCTGGAGAAAGTAAGCTAATCATGAAAGCCAAAGACTAATCCGTTAGACCACGTATTAATCTCGGTGATAACAGCTTATCTTGTAGATCTACCATTGTAGGCCCATCATGTAGATCACATGCTAATCCTAAAGACCAAAGTTAATCGTGTAATGACTAATCCTAAAAACCAAAGGCTAATCGTGTAAAGACTAATCCTAAAGACCAAAGGCTAATCTTGTGTATACTAATCCTAAAGACCAAATGCTAATCTTGTAAAGACTAATCCTAAAGACCAAATGCTAATCTTGTAAAGACTAATCTTAAAGATCAAAGGCTAATCCGGTAAAGGCTAATCCTAGAGTATATCGCGTAATCCTGTAGACGTACCGTTGTTGGCACCATCCCTGTAGACTACAGGCTGGTCCTTGTACTGCATGTAGTACTGTATGTGCCCCATCTCGTGGTGGATGGTCATCAAGTCCTCGTGAGTAATGTCTGTGCACATCTTGATCCTGGCAATGAGAGTTCAAACCTTGGGATTGTCTTTGGATGAGGTCGTAAACATAAGGGGTAGCAGTAGAAAAACGTGCTTTATGTTCAAGCCTTGCAAAGGCATTTCTTTTTAAATTTTGTCTGGTCTTTGGATTAATGGAATGTTAGGGTCACTGAGATCAATTGAATCGTGGGGTCAGGGGATCAACTGAATGTTGGGATGATTGGATCAAATGGAGGCTAGGGTCAGGGGATCAACAAAATGCCACTCACGCAAAGTCTTTCCTGTTGTAAAAATCCCAGGCCGAGGCGTGGCAGGCGACCTTCCGCCCGTCCGTGGGTTTCTCGATCACAGACTTGGTCCAAAAGGTGGGCACCATCTTGTCGAAACCCAGCGACACAAAGAAGGCTTCAGCTGTGTCGAACATCGTCTTGGCTGTATAGTTCTGGACATTTTTAAAGTCACTGTTAGATTGCAACATCAACATGCTCATAACCCGCGAATTAATTAAAATCAGCTAATAATCAGCTGATCTTTTTAAATAATTTTTTTTAAATATTGTAACTGTAAGGTAAAAGTGCATCTAATTAATTGGCGATTCTATGGCAAACGAGGCTCGTTAGCTGAGGACAGCAACCCATCTAATTGAGAAAATTCCAAACACAAACTACTACTGTCTCAGCGAATGTTCTTGGGTGAGCATAGGCTATGGATGTTAACCCAGAAAGAAAAGCAGACCGAATTCAAAGAGCCAAATGGCGAACACCATGTCATGTTGACATGCAATACTTAAATTTTGTTCTAGGAACTCCCTTAAAATGTGCCACAAGTAAGAACGAAGAAGAAGAAGAAACTGTTGTTGATTTGAAGTAGATGACCAACCTGTTGGATCAGCTGATCGGTGACGTCTATCAGGGGTCTGTCCTTGTATGGCATGACCTCAGAGGCGATGTTGCCCCACTCCTGGGCCCATATGTCCCCTGGGTAGATGGAAGGTCGGGTTTTTAAATGTGGGATAGAGGTAACGTTTTGTGGGTGTGGAGTTTGGTTCACATATACCTGGGTAGATGGAAGATTCGGCTTTGAACTATAAGAAAGGGTGCCGTAAAGGGGGTATTGTGGAGGGGGCTGGGCCGTAATGAAAATGTTGGAGAATGGCCCCAATATTACCTGCTTAGATGGAAGACTTAATGTTGATATATTCGAGAGTATTGAAGTATAAATTTTGTATACAAATATCCTGTTTCTTTCATCAGGTGAGGGTGTAGACGTGATGGGTGGGGGTGGGGGGGGGGGGGGGGAATGGTTCGGGGCCTATTATTACCTGGTAGATGAAAAATATGGTTCGGTTACCTAGCAGATGTGCCGGAATGTGACCGGAAGCCGGAAATTTATCCGCCCCGTACAGCTGCTTGAGGTGCCGGCGAACGTAGGCGTGGAGCTGCTCGTAGAGCGGCAGCACCTGACTCATCAGCTGGGCCACGTCCTCCTCGAAGGTCGGTGACTCGTACCACGACCTCCAGTGGTCGCTTGCGTCCTTGAACCCTGAAAGTTCAACATTTGTCAGGTTGATAGGGGGGGGGGTAGAATAATGTCTAGTGTTACTGTGTTAAGGTTTAGATGGCCATTGCCAAAAATCATACGGTGAATAAATTAACTCTCCCCCAAACACGTAATTTAATTTGATAGCAAATAATAGAATTATTTTGTATTTGCCGATTAACTATAGCTATCTATTATTATTAGAACGGGAATTAACTTTCGGATATTTCAATGTTAAAAGATAGCGTAAGACCGCTTAGAACGGGGATAAGATATAACAAACTCTTAAAAGTACCTATTCGAACTTGACAGTCCGTGAGGAAGGTGAAGTAGAGTTCACCTGTTTCATTGCCTTCGGCTTATGAAGTGAAAGTGTGGTCAGCACTATGCCACTATGCTCAGCCGGCTTTACCTTCCTTAACGTGAGCTGGGTACCCGTCAGAGCTTGGTGGACTCAGGGACGTTCTACGGACTCGAGTCCGGGATCCAAACCCGAATCTTTCGGGTTTGGAGTCGTACGTTCTATTATCCAACCACGCTGTGATATTGGACAAAGGGCAGTGCAGCGTATCAATATGGACGCCAGTATAAAAGTTGAGTATCCATTACGCGATCGCGAAAAATTGTCCATTATTTTTTGTTTTCTTGTTGCCCGATGTAGCGTTACGAGACGTAAGTTGTATGAAGCAGCCACATACCTGCCTGTCGTACGGCATCATTCATCAGATCGACGTACTGCACGTACATGTCCTTCATCTGACGGCCCGTGGCGTCATGCCAGCCGCTCCAGACAGCCAGGAGTTTCTCGTAGTCACGTGACTCGGCCATCAGGCGCGTGATGCCTGGGGGACACGGACCAATCAAATCAGTCCTTACAAGCTACACTAACAAATATCTGTGTGAATGAAATGTGTGAATAAGTTATACTGCACGTTATGAAACTAGTTTGGTCTACCTGGCTCCATGTCGAGACAGCCATCTTTGGTCGTCTGTAAACAAACTTTGGCTGTGTTGTACAGCGTGGACATCTCAGACTGGAGTTCTGTTAGCTGCGGGACAGATATATATATATATATATATATATATATATATATATATATATATATATATATATATATATATATATATATATATATATATATATATATGTAAAATACATATTATATATACATTTTATATGTACATTTTTAGGCATATATATATATATATATATATATATATATATATATATATATATATATATATATATATATATATATATATATATATATATATGTGTGTGTGTAAAATACATATTATATATACATTTTATATGTACATTTTTTAGGCATATATATATATATATATATATATATATATATATATATATATATATATATATATATATATATATGTATATGAATATAATTATGTAAAAATTCTTTATTGCAGTATAATTATATACAAAAATTGATACGTTAAAGTATAGATATCCGAATACTTTGAAAGATGCGTTGACACATTTCCTTGACTAGACCAACTGTTTTACCTTCTGCAGTTTGCTCTCGTCCTTTTGTGCTGCTGTACCAATGTCCCGGATGAAATGAAACTGTCGTCTGACGTCACTGCTCATGCCAGTATCATTGAACTCCGCTGCTTTTTTGCTCCATTCCAAATCAAACTTGGCTTTTTCTATTGCTTTTGCATTCTATTTTTTTGTTTAAAAACGATAAAGACCAAAATCAAATGGTGTGGGTTTTTTTTTTTTTGGTGTGATTTTAGGACAATAACAAAAACCCTACCCTACGACATAAACCCTGCCACAAAACCCTTTAACAACCCCTCTACTTGTAAAAAAAGAAAACCGATGAAATTAATGTATCTCTTAACTTTACTATTTTATATTTGGCACAATGATTTTGGTAAGAAAAATATAAAATATAAAATAAATTTGGATACGAATGGTTGGTTTGTATAATTTTCAGGCTTATTGTCTAAACAATTTCTTAACAAGCCCATCAAGTCTTGACAGAATTAAGGGGTCATCCATAAATGACGTCACGCTTTTTTGACGATTGTTACCTCCCCCCTCCCCTCCGTCACACGTCGTCACAAAAAGCCACACGCCCCCCCCCCTAAAATGACGTCACACCTCAACCTACAACCCCCCTCAAAATTGCAGTTGAATTTTTTTAAAACATCGATATTTTTCCTAAATCTTGTCTAAACTATTACAATTTATTAAAACAGTTATCTAAAACGCGAAATAACGTTTAAATTTCGTTTTCTAACATTGCTTTTTTATAATGCAAAAATGTGACGTCGCAACATCTGACCCCCACCCCCTTTCCCCCTCATCACACATCGTCACAAAAATTACAGACCCCCCCCTCCCCCCTACGAGTGTGACGTCATTTATGGATGACCCCTAACAAGAAAAAATTATATTATAACTTGAGTCATCTAAAGTGGATTGGATTAGGTATTTATAACTCTTTCTTTCTCTCTCTTTCTCTCTCTCTCTACAGTCTACATCCCACTCTCTCTATATACACATACATATCGGCATAACCGACTCGGGCAATGCTCGGCTGTCTATCTAAGGTGTCTCTAAACCCCATATTTTCAGTCCCTTAGCCTGCGGGTGTCCCCCGGGATTTTGCCTCATCCCCCGGTACACCTGGGTCTGGAACCCAGGTATCGAACATGAGACACTCGGGATTGCAAACACACTACCGCTAGACCACGACCGTGACCATACCATTCCTTGCCATCAACCCCCCCCCCCCCCTTCCACCACAGGCGACCATTAATTTCAACACATTTAGATTTGCCCGGGATGATACCAATCATCCTCGCGCTTTAAAAATTATTGCTTCAAGTTATTTTATAAATATTTAAGATATTTCTAATTAACTGATGATTAGTAATTACATATATTTTTTCATGCTCATCCGTAATGTTTGTTTTGAAGGTATATTCTTTGTCCACAAGGTCGATCTCGATCTTTTCTCTTTCAACCTCATAATCTTGGAGGAACTGAAGCGCTTCCGTCTCGTTCGTGTTGCTGCCTGTTGATTGGCTGGCAGCCAGACTGACGTAAGCAACAAACATCAGCCATACCTCTAGCTTCATGGCTAGACCAAGCCTGAGGGTGAAGAAATAAAATGTTTAAAGCAATATCGAAAGTAGAACAACAACATTGCTTGCTGTATAACTTCTGTCTGTTTTTTTTTAAACTTTTTTAATGTTAACGGGAGGTTGGGGGGTGGAGGGGCATAACCTACACAAAGTAGCACGAAAATAAACAATATAATTTTAACTTTGAATATAAAATTAAACAGCGCCACTTAAAATATTTTAATATTTAAATGTACGTGGTTTAGAATCAAACTAAAAACGCTGCAAAATTCGATGAAATTTCGAACTAGCGCGAAATAGTTTAAACAGCTCATTAAAAAAAGAAAACTCATCAGCAGTGTAGTTTTATTTAAGCTAATTTTAAAAAAAAATTCTTTTAAACAGGTTTTAGTTATTTTCGCCAACATTTTTTTCCTTATTTTTTATTTTATTTCTAAACTTACTTATTTTTCGTCACCTATCTGTGACGTAACAGATCTCTCTGATGATATATTTTATCTGTAGTGCAATGGATCTGCCTTTATGATGATACCTTGTATCTGTAGTGCAATGGATCTGCCTTTATGATGATACCTTGTATCTGTAGTGCAATGGATCTGCCTTTATGATGATACCTTGTATCTGTAGTGCAATGGATCTGCCTTTATGATGATACCTTGTATCTGTAGCGCAATGGATCTGCCTCAGACGATATCTTTTAACCAGAGACCTCCCACAGCACTGAAGTTTTGAGAGTTGAGCGAAGACACCGATCTGAATCCACGTCCCGATATCTTGCACAGTCTCAGCAATTTGGGACTCCGGTCAGGGGAGGCAATCCTAAGACTTTGTAGGCTCTGTCAAGGGGAAGTCACCCTTTGACTTATCTCGCGAAAAACAAATTCCAGCTAAACACTTGATCGAGTTGAGATAACGAACCTGTGTGTGAAGGAATGGCCGTCCTATGTCATCACGCATGCTGCTGGCAAACAAGGACTAGAAAACAGTGTCGTAACCTTGCTGCCATGGCAACAGATATACGTACTGTAAACCTTTTCCTGTTCGACCCACCACTAAATGAGATGCGCATTTTATATTTTTATTTTTTTTAGTCATACTCAAAATCACCACCCCACATACCATCCTCGGACTAACGGGGGTTGTGGGGGACTAAAGGGAGGGACTGAGATTCACAAATACCTAAGAGCCGCAGACACCAAAATAAAGCACAAGGAAATACAAATGAACGTATCTACCACGTCAAACAAGTTCACATCCGATGAAATATCATTTTATAATTACATGAAATATTCAGCTACAATGCACTACAATGATAAAATTAAATGAAGCTTCATATTCAGTCGACCACATCAAAGATTGCACTAGGTTGTGATAGGGAGATATTAAGTATTTTTTCTAAAGGCGGTGTGCATAGATGCATTTTATTCATCGATTTTTATTTAGTTCTATGCTTAACTGCATAATTGCGTGTGTGTGTGTATATATATATATATATATATATATATATATATATATATATATATATATATATATATATATATATATATATATGTGTATATTTATGTTTATATATGTATATATATGTATATATATAAATACACACACGCAATTATATGTATATATATACATATATATATATATATATATATATATATATATGTATGTATGTATATATATGTATATATATACATACGCACACGCAATTATATGTATATATATGTATACATGTATGTATATGTATATATACATATATATATATATATATATATATATATATATATATATATATATATATATATATATATATATATATATATATATATATATATGCTAATTTAATGATAAATTGAATGTTAATTTTTTTGTTTAAATTCCTACCTGGAATGTTTCATATGTCTATAAATGTGTTTTTATATGGATCTGCCTGATTTCTAACACTTTGAAATACATGTGTTTAAGAAAGTATTTTTGTAAAAAAAAACAAAAAACCTACCTGCTTACCGAGTTGTCAGTGCAAGAACTCTGAGCCACTACACACACAACTAAAAATAAACAATAACGTCATTGAGGTGCTGCACGTGTGAGTTGGTCACGTGATTTTTTTTTATCCCGGACAGGCGATACCTTGTTTTAGGCAGTGGCTAGCAGTTGAAAAATTGTGTTGTGTGAAGTGGGGGAGGGGGGTGGAGAGTATTCTTTTTGCGAGGGTTTTAATAGAATGAAAAATTGGATTTTAAAACTCGAGTTTGATTTCAAATAGAATCGAAGCTAAAGCTGTACAGTAAACGGGATGGATTTTACCACGGTTTTAGAACATCCCCAGAGATTTTAGGAGCATACAAGGATTCTAGGAGCATATAAGGATTTTAGGGGCATACAAGGATTTTAGGGGCATACAAGGATTTTAGAAGCATACAAGGATTTTAGGGGCATATAGTGATTTCAGGAGCATATCGTGATTTTAGGGGCATATTTTCATTTTAGGGGCATACAAAGATTTAAGGAGTAAACTGCGATAATAGTGAGGTGGCGCGATTTTAGGGGTATACAGGCATTGTTTCTTGAAGTCTTTTTTTCTCCAAAAACTTTCGGGGTGGGGTGGACTTAAATTTTCGGGGGGGGGGGGGGGGGGGGGAATTAGTTCGGGGGATGGAGTCTATGCCTGAAAGAAACTTGCACAACGGGATTCTATTGGGCATGCCATAATTTCATACCACGCCAAACACAACTTCTCGATAAAGACAAAAGTAAATTCAACGTTTAAAAAAATTGGAAACGATAATAAAGTTTAACATTAGAGGTCTCTATCGTAAGCTTCGACGGGATATTTGGCTTATATTCTCATGACCTTTCAACTTAGCCTACTTGGGTTTAGAAGAATACAGAATGTGTGCTGTGCGTGATTTTAAAAACCCGGACTTTACAAAAATGTAGGTAGTTCAACAAAGCTTTAACGTAATATTGAAACAAAACATGCATTCAGACTCAGATAGCTATCTAATATCCGCTTTATATTTCAACAAAAGTACAAAGTAAACGATACACAATAATTTTACCGAACACACTCAGTGAAAACAAATTGTGAATTCATAAGGGAACTTATTTTTGTTTTGAACAAAACGAACCGGATGTAAAACAGGAAATGGGTTTTTCTGTGCGATATGCCGTCCATAAATAACTCTGATGAGTAAGAAAGGTCAGGATTATAGGATTTCTCCGCCCGCTTAGGTTGTGTAACAAATCTTATTATTATTTTTAGCGCAATTTCCATTCTGGAGAATTGCGTTTATTAACGCGTCATTTCTGGATGGATGGATGGATGGATGAATGTATGGATGAATGTGTGTCCGGGCTTTAAGTCGTATCTCCTCCTCAACGAAGCAATATCGATGACTAGTTCCAAAAGCAATTATGTTAAGCAAGTTACAAGAATGAGCATAGGCCATAAAAATTCCGGGTTTCTTTCATGTATTTCCCGGAAAAGCCAAAAAACCTCGAAAAAAAGCAGTTTTTGGCCCATATCTCGTCAACCAGACCACTTAGCGACTTGAAACATGTACCAATCGATTCCTGCCATAATTTAGAGCAATATTGCCGAAGAAAGTTTTCAAAAATATCCTCTCGTTTGGTCACAAATTTTAAAATTACAAAAACACCTACAAACCGATTGTTCTTCTAGCTTGAACGCATCCCAGCATTATACGTCAGAGCTATTTTTAGATAACATAAGGAAATTGCGCATAAATGTCACTAGACTTTTTTAATTAACTTGTTTTATTTAAAAAATCATTGCTTAAAATGTTTAATGAGCAGTAAAGTAAATTAAATGTTTTCAGACCACGATTTGAAGAAACTACAGTAAATTAAATTGAACGTGAACATTTTGTCGTTCAAATCTGAGTCAAAAGAGAGGCTCGTTTACATTTTCAAAGAGCAACATTTGGCTCCAGGGCCGTATGTTGTTGGCTCTTGGAGTTTAATTCGCACAGTAAACCGTAAGTAAAGATTATATATATATATATATATATATATATATATATATATATATATATATATATATATATATATATATATATATATATATATATATATATAAGTGCGGCGTCAAACGGCCAATGACAAAACGGCCCCGTCAATACGACCCCGACATTAGAGCCCCGTCACATCGACCCCATCAAAAGGGCCAGCGATATATTGACCCCGTCATATAGGCTGCCGACAAAAGGGCTCCAGTTAATAAGGCTCCCGACAAATAGGCTCCCGTCATTTAGTTTCTCCACATTACGACTCCCGACAAATAGGCTCCCGTCATCTTGGCTCACGACAAATAGGCTCTTGTCAATTTGGTTCCCGACAAAAGGACCACTGACAATACGGTTTCCTTAGAGACTGAGTCTCCCGGCAAAACGGTCTCATTGAATATGACCTCTGCCAGTGGGAACCCTTCATTAATATTCTTTAGAGTTGGCTTATCCAACACTCTTAAGTAATACAACGTATGCATCTCTTGTTCGGCAGGCATTATTATTATAATAGTTTATCTGTTATAAGAAATATTATGTTTTAATTTAAAGGTCATCTATCTATGACTTCCTTAAATGAGTCGGTTATAGGCTGTTCTCGTTATCCTGTATACATCATGTATATCACACATTTACACTTAAGTGCTCGCTTTTAAGCACCAGATCTTTTATGTTGTAAATTAAACATTATCACAATTTTAGAATTGGTGGAATTTAGCTGTTAAGGACTAGATTTGTTTGTGAATTGATGTTGGTTCATGAAAAACTATTTCATGCAAGCATTTAAAAAGGTTATAGTAGTAGTGGATGTAGGACAAAATGGTTACTTTTATGCAAAAAGCGGTAATACGATTCATTTGTCTGGAGCCAATATGTCGGGATCCCTTTTGTCGGTAGCCAATATGTCGTGAGCCCTTATGTCGGGAGCTAATATGTCGGGAGCCGCTTTGTCTGGAGCCAATATGTCCTGAGCCTATTTGTCGGGAGCCAATATGTCAGGAGTCCATTTGTCAGGGGCCTAAATGTCGGGAGCCCATTTGTCGGGAGCCTATATGTCGCGAGTCAGTATGACGGGAGCCTATTTGACGGGAGCCAATAAGTCGGGGCCCTTTTGACGGGGCTATTTTGACGGGGTTGTTTTGTCGGGGGTCGATTTGACGGGGTCATAAAAAACGGGGCCGTTTTGACGGGGCCGATTTGTCCGGGCCGTTTTGACAGAGCACCATATATATATATATATATATATATATATATATATATATATATATATATATATATATATATATATATATATATATATATATATATATGTATATATGTATACCCACCTCCAACACTACCCACTTCCCAATCTACCCACCTCCCACACTACCCACCTCCCACCTCCCACACTACCCAGATCCCCTAATAGTTTAACAAGACCACTGTATTATTACAACACTAGTGACGATAATCAACTGAAACCATTTGACCTCGGCCTAATTAATCAACCTGTATTCAAAACCAAAAGATAACTGACATTAACCAAACATCCAAACATATTTTTTAAGCTGTTGTTAGATAATTAAATGGGAAGAGGGCTATTTACTAAGCTAAAAGGGGTACTTCATGCACTGATAATACCGTCTTATAGATGGCTTATTTTCACACAGTTGGGAGTCCGCGAGAACTCCACGGACATAGACCCACATACGGACTGAACAAAACAAAAGGGAGATAACGTGCTGTAACAAGTCACAGATTCCGTTGGGTTTTTTTTCAAACCAGGAATTTTATATTGCTAGATTTATTTGAAGAAATAGTTGGATACGTAAATTCAGCAATAATTAAAAAGAAGTTATCTCCCTTTAATTTTCTCTTATATTCGAATAAAACAGTAAGGATTGGGATGTCACTTTTAGTGAAATCGGGTTAGGTGCGTTTTTCGACAAAATACAGAGATGAAAATTAAATTAACAAAATTCTGAAGATTTTGAAAAAAATCAGAAATAGAGTTGCCAGAAATCGCTCAAAAGTTAGTAAAATCCAATAAATAGGCTACTTGT